AATGGTTTGTTATACTGGGTCCGGCAGCAATAACAGCCATAACAGCAAGCGGCATAAGAGGATTGCATTTATGCATAAGATGCGGCGGTTCTAAATAGCCGCTGTTGTGGTTACACCGTGCGTGCATTACGGCTACGCACGCAGAATGAGTGCCATGATGCTCGCAAAAGATAATCGTAGCATTTCTTGCCTTCGGCTCACTCACCTGAGGGCCTCTAACTCTTTCTGCGCCAGGTCCTTCCCCTTGGCTCCAGTCTTGGATTCCAGTTGAAGCTTTTGCAGCTCGCTCTTCAGGTTGGATATCTCTTGCTTACTGCGCAGCCTGCTCATGTGGATTTCACCAAAATAGAGCGGCCCGTGAGAAAGCGATACGTTAGGAGGGCCCGAAGAGAATACCCAAAGACGGCCTGCGATGTGTACGCGCAAACACTTCATCAACGCCTGGTGCAAATAACATCTGTATTGAAGGGGAAGACAAAGTGCCCATAGGCGCAGACTCAAGTGGGAGACCCGACGATATCCCCGACAAAAGTTGACACTAACAGTGAGCCCGGAGGACGGACGGGAGAGGCAAGAATACGTAGGTTGGAAACGGCAATGGTGGACGCCACCACACCGGAGTGCGGGCTCTTCACGAATACTCCTTTACGGAAGTAAACCAACCATGCTTAAGGTTACAAGTTACAAGTTACAAGTTCCGCACACAAGTGCGGGTGTGTCCGTAAAAGCCGGGGGGGCCATGGACGTAATGGCTTAAGGAGTGTTGCACGAATACTACCCTTGTGTTTGACTGGCTTTACCTTTCCTCTTTGAGCTCCTCCTTTGCCTTCAATGCGCCCGCAGCTTCCTGCACTTTAGCCGACAGTTCGGCAACCTGCCGTTGCAGATCAGCTTGTGCAGCTGTCGCTGCCTGAGATTGGTCCAAGGACGCCTTGACCAGCAGCTCAGCGCGCTCGCATGCGACGCGGAGTTCCTCCTGAAGCTGCATGTTGCGCGCCTGCGTGATAGGAACATGAGTGAGCTTACAACGCAGAGCGCGTCGGGGACGCGTAACGGTGGCATCTCTGAATATCATGCACCTACGCGCGCAAGCAATCACGGCAAAGGCACATACCCCACCATTGCGTCAACGAGTTTCTCCTCCAGCGCTGTGGTAGCCTGCTTGTTTTGCATCGTAAGCGACGTTATGGACTCCTTGTGTGCCTCTTCACGCTCAGCAAGGGCATCCTTGTGCTGCTGCTCGAGTGCCGCCAAGGCAGCTTCATGAGCTGCAGTCTCCGTCTCCGCTGTTTGCTCGAGGTGCACAATCTTCTCTTGGGCAGCGATCGCACAAGCATGGAGTTCCACTGCAAGCAAGCCAGGCAGCCTTCCCTTTGGACAGGCGGGTGCAAAGTACAATACCCGCCAAAGAGTGCAATGCCTGCCACGCTCGAGGAAATAATCCTTTCTTTCTCCATGGAGAAAAGGTGAGAAAGGCCTGGTATAGCATGCCTCGCACAGCAAATGCAGCTTCAGGTGTCAACCACTTAAATCCCTGGGTTGTACCTTCCTGGGCCTTGAGCTCGCCAATACACGCCTGGAGGGTCGCTACATTGTCCTGCAACCCTGTAAGCTGCTGGTCCTTGAGCTGCAGATGCTCTTCCATCGACGCCTTCGTAGCCTCTAGCTCTCCGATGATGGTCCGCAAGGCCGCCACGGCTTCTTCATGGCGTTCCTACGTAACATCGCACACGAAAATTCCTTTAAAATGTCATTATCTGGGACCAAAAGCAGCTGCTCAGGACCCTACTTCCGCTGTCAATGTTTTCCCGGATTCGTGTAAGGTGCGCCTATGATCTAAGCTGAGGAGCTCATGGTAAAGCTTGCCTGTTGGAGCGCGCTTGCTGCTGTCAGGCGCTGTACCTCCAATGCATGGCGCTCAACCAGGTCTTCCTGCACCTGTGCTGCCTTTTTTGCAGCAACTGCCGACGTGTGTTGAAGCTCCGCCACTTCCTTCTGCAGTGCCTCTACCGCGAGCTTCAACTCTTTCGCGCGGAGCTCTGCCTCAATCGCTCGGACTTCACATTCCTGGGCTTTCTCAATGGCCGCCTTCAGCTCCTCCTCCTGCTTCTTCTGATATAGCGGTGCACGCTTCCGAGACTCAAGTTCCTACAAGTTCCAAATTGCCGATGTTGGTCTTCGGCATGCGCCGCGGACGATCGCTTGATATAGTACATTGCATGGTGGACAGTGAAATGGAACGACGCCAGCTGAGTGGGTAACTTTTTCACCTGCACATGAACCTCCAAGCGCTTGACCTCCTCATATAATCCACGGGCGCGCTTTTCTGCCTCTGAAGCTCGCTCCTCCGCAGCCTGGCGAGGCAAAAGCTGGATGCGTCAGACAGGCGCTGGGCGGCCAGATCTTTGACTGACTGATCATAGGAGTGCATACCCGTGCATGCTGATACCACGCGGAATGCATACCCGTACCACTTGTCGCCATTTGTGCCACACATGCCCAGGCAACACCTTCCGAACTGCATTCACCAACCTGCACCATGGTTTTCATCTCGTCGGCTTCGCAAATCCTCTGCTTCAACGTTGCTTCAGTCTCATCGAATCTGGCCTTGGTCTCAGCCTCTTTGGCCTCAAGCCGGCTGTACTCATAACCCCGCTTCTCCAACTCGGCGCGAGTATCAATAAGCTCCGCTTTAAGGGTCTGGGCATGCTCCTTAGCAGCGGCATATTTCTCGGAGAGATCCTTAAGGCGCGCTTTGTGGTCAGTGGACTTTGCCTCCATTGCGGTCTCCAGCTCGGCTTTCAATGTAGACAGCACGTCACGCTCCTGCCATTGGCACAAACGGACCGTGACAGCAGCTCACAGGGCGCCGGGGCCATAGCTGGTTGGGGCATGGAGAGTAATCAGTCAATAAGACGGTCACAATTCGTTCCGGGGCAAGAATGCACCTAATCCACCCAGTAACCTCGGTTCATGCCCGCGATCGTTCCCTGCGGCCCGTAATGAGGCTGAGTTGTACCCTCCACACTCTGCGAACCTGCTCTACTGAGCGGCACATTCCCTGAAGCTCTTCGACCTTCTTCTCGGACTGGCGACCGCGCCACTTTGCCTCCTCCAACTGCTGCAACAGCGTATCAATTTGGGACCTGCAAAGCAAGTGACGAAATGTTCCCTGGAACCCGCACCTTGACGCACAAGGAAAACACGAGCTCAATCGCACCGCGGCAGAATAGACGCAACTTCATAGTATGGGAAGGCTACTTTTCGGAGGACGTAGTAATTTTACCGTGTGTTTACCGTGTGTTTGGCGCCAATGTTATTAACGACTGGCGTTATACCCTGCTATACGCCATTTGGGAACATCCTCCATTGCTAGTTACTTGTGATTACCTGCTCCTACCCTAATTGGATAGAGGCGTGATCACGACTCCGGTGGAAAATAGATAAAATAGGCGGGATTAAGAACACCAGTTGACTTCCAGTATTGCATGTCTGGCGAGGAGCAGCACGCTTTGAAGAAGAGCAGCAGGTTTCGGCGAGCAACGTTGTCAGTTACCAGTTGAAAATGGTGATCCAACTGACCCAAGATCGAAGGTTTCTTTGCCGAAAGGACTACAACAGCTCAATCCCTACCTGTCGCTTTCTGCTTTTTGCGCTGCCAAAAGCTCCCGCTCCATGAAGTCGCGCTCAAGGGCTTCCATGCGTTCCTCGACCTCCTGATGCTGTTGCATGTACAGGTTCAGCGATGCCCGCTCCTGAAACGGCAGAAATGGCCAATCTTTCGGCACAGGAGGTACAGCCTATTACACCCAGATTAGGTTTCCAGCTGACCTGCGCAGGAAGGAGTGCCATCATGCGCTCCAGGTTTCGGCGCAGGTCCAGTTCCTCCCCTTCAACCTCGTCCTCGTCATCCTCTTCATCCTCATCTCTCCTCTCCATTGTGTTGTATTCAGAGGCTCCGCTACCTGCGACCGTGGATTTGAACCTCGGAACCACTTTGTTCGAGTCCTACGGAAGGCACGTACTAATGAGGTCTGTTACTGTAAAATCGACTCACGCTCTCGCCGACGCCGCTGCGGTGTAGGGCCTTCAGGACCGTCGCCCTCCTCGTCGTCTTCCTGCAGCGTGCCAAGTGCGTTGCTTGGCCCTACAGCGTCCAAACACCCGAAGACCCGAACCCGTTTGCGCTGGCTTGGCTCTCCACCACCTGTACCAGCGTATGGCGTCGACAATGAACGGCATATCAAGGTGAAGAGCCCGCACTTAGAATGGGATATGAGATGGAGAATGAGGTCTCGCCATCGGTACTAACGCCATGACGAGAAAACCTCATTCGCGTCGCCAGCGCACAGTATCTTGGTGTAATGCCACACCTGAATTTGTTGTCGTCTCTGACACAGATTGCTCGGCCGGCACCGGCCATGCGCTCTTGCCAGGACACCACGTTTCGCGGCGGCTGTTTTTTCGGAAGCCGCCCTCCGACTGCTCTTCGCGGCTTTGAAACAGCAATTTCTTCGTGTTCTCAGCCTGAGGAAGCGGCGGTACCAAAGGGATGGGATTTCACGACATGGCAACCAGCCTTCCATAAGCTCAAAGGGAAGGCTAGGTACGCGCCACCGCTGCCTTAAAATGCGCCTAATAACCTGTGGCCTTACCTCTCTTCGGGCCTTCAGCTTCTCCTCCTTTTCCTCCTCCAGCTTTGCTTTGATCAGCTCCTTTTCTTGCTCGCTGCGCAGAAGCTGCGCGCGCAGACCGTTAATCTGTTCGTCAGCGAACGCGCCACCCCTGCAAAACAAGCAAAGCACGTTACGCCCTTTCGCAGATCAGCATGCTGCTCACCTCATCGGCTGAATGCTTACATTTGACCAGGGCTACTCCGTTTCCGCACACCTGTCCCCCATTTCGCTAAACACTTGCTTTTTGTAACCCTGCCGTTGCGCTCGTGCAGGCCGTATGGAGTATGTCATGCCCTAGCCACCTTTCGCATTGCACCAGCCGCCTTACCCGTTATTGCCAGCCGCCAGCTGCCGCTTCAGTTCCTCGATTTCTTTAGCTTGCCGCTTAAGAACAGCAGCATCGGATAGGACCTCGTTTACGACAGCGTTGTTGACGACGCTCTTTGCCCGACATGCAAAGCGCAGCGTGATGTGGCTCTCTTCGCGGTGGCACCATGCCGGGGTCATTGCGCAGATAATGGCCGTTTTGGCATTACCGCCCAAGGAAGGCTGCAAGATGCGCGTCAGCTTGCTGTCGCGGTACGGAATATGGCTACCTGCACAAGGCATTTGTACGAAAGTTAAGCGGAGGGATACAGGCGTCAGGTAGCAACTGAAAACTATGCCTTCACTCACCTGTTGCCAGCGCACCCTCGCTTAGCTTGTTGATGACGTTGCCGAGCGTAAGCAAGCTTCGGTTAATTGCCGTGCCTTCTTTCATGCGTATACCTTCCGCGCCTGTCTTTGCCACACGCTCTGATCCAGCCAGATCAACCAGGGACAAGGCGGACACCAGGACGGCGCCAGCATCATCATCCTCCCCGTTCGCGGCCCTGCTCTCCACGACCTTCAATGACAGAAAACAAGACATGGCGCCCGACATGAACCCTTGGTCATTGCAATTGCTGAGCAAGAAACCCATGGAGGTCATGGCACATTTCTAGAAACCCGTTAACTGTATGTTGCATCTGACATCTGCGGCAAGTCGTTTACGGAGGTTGGAACAGCTTTGCCTTGACGCTGCTAGTATGTGCTCTGTCGAATACACCTAGTTGCTGCACAGCCAAACCCAGCAATGGCGGATAAGGTGCCCACTAACGCAACGGCATACGTAACGCCGGTTTGTCAGAATGAAAGCCGTTCAACTCATGTCAGCCATGACCTGTAATAATTCACGTATACACCACTAGTACCCGCCACGCATTTGGGTACCTACCATGCGGAAGATTGTATGTGAACGACTGCTCTTCTCGTTCATTTTTGTGTATCCTGTATGGCGGTTGGCCTCGCCAGTCGCCAGAAGCTCCAGTACCTGCTCAGGGCTGGTCACGATATCCTCACGCAGGCCACACACGTAAGGACCCGTCTCCTTGGCTTCCTTGATAGGCAGCTTCACGTTCTCCGGCGCCAGCAAGTCGTTTACGTCCTCGTTATATATCTGCAAATTGACAGCGCATCCTAGGGTTTGTAATGCATTAGTTTTGCCCTTGTATTGTGCCAAGCCGCAGCACCAAACGGGAATTTTGTTGCACCGCCAAGCACAGCCCCTCTCCCCGGAGTAAGAAACGAAGGACTGCCGTCTCACCTCCATGTACGAGACACGGATGAGGAACAGCCGGTCCTCATCCTGCTCAATAAGCCTGAAAGCTTCGGTGACAGCCAGCGGGATAATGCCGGGGCTATCGGGCGTGCCCCGCATGGTGTGCGTTTTCCCGCTGCTGGTTTGCCCATAGGCAAAGACTGTGCTGTTGAACCCATTAACAATCTTGCGTATAAGACCCTGAGTCGTAACCTCGTAGATCTTCTCTGTGCTCCACTCGGGCCCGAAGACATGGTCCAACACGTACTTAGTGTCTTTCGCCCTGTCAACATCCTTGCTGCTAGAGTCCAGCTGGACGATGCTATTTCCGTCTATCCTCCATGAAAATAATTCATGTTCCTCCTGCTTGTTTAGCGGCCGAACTCGCACACTCACGCTGCGGGCGGGTCCGACGAAACACGTTGAAGCCGAAAAAGCAACATGCACCTTGGTACAGCATAGCAATCTACCTGATGTTCTCCATCTTAAAGCCTCGGCCGGTAGGCTATGACCCTACCGTTGTCTTGACTCTACGATGGGCAAAGTTTAAGAAGTCGCATTTCTGCCCTCTAAGATGACTCCACTGTCTCCTAACTTGATGTAGATACTTGCCAAATAGCTATGTCGCGATAGAAGTCAACTTGGAAGTCACAGCAGGGTTACTTCTTCCAGGCTGTCCGTACTTTGAAATACATTGCTTGGAACCTATGATCCCTGTTTCTCGGAGGCGTAAATCTATTGACGTCTGGAATAAATATTTCGTTTACTTTATGTTCGACCCGTTTAATTTTGAGAGTCATAAGACTAGCTAGCTTGTGTTCCTGTCCCGGGCTAAAGTTGACTTCTGTAATCGGTTTGCCTTTTTCCTCTTCATGTTCGTTTATGCCAGCTTGGATGGCTCATCACTAACTTGGCTGGCCCCGGCCGTAACGTTAGCGGGAAGGTTGCGGAGCATAGTTGCCAAACGCCAAGTTGTCCCCGTCCCATCCTTGACACTGATGGATTGCCCCCGCTTCACTGAGAGCTTCAGAAACTTCTATCGCATTTGGTCCGGGAACCCCAGTGGTCCTCTTGTGGTACGCCTCTCTCCGCGAGATGAGAATTTTTTACAACGATGAAAGCGCTCGGTCTCGATATTTCAATTAGCATTTGTGTCATTAGTGCATTGGGTGATGCTATGAGCGGCGCTGCTACGGAAGACGTATGCACGGCACGCAGCTGGTTCCTAGTTGGCCCAGCTGTGTCGAGCTCCTTTATGTGTTTTCCTTGACGGCAGCCTCATTCAACATTCAAACCGAGGGCTCGGTCACGGAGCCGCTGCATTGCCCGACACTCGCCGAGAGCACGGTACGACATCATTTGCATGTCAGCCCTATATGAACGCCGCAAGACGACCGGAGGGCCCTGACTCGAAGTCAGCCCCACCCTGGAGTTAGTTGGTACCGCTTTCATGTACTTCCTCAAAGATACTGCTTCTCTAGTACTGTGATGTTTTATTTGTTATATTCAAGATAACTGAACTGAACTTGCAAGGCGCCACCGCAGTTGCCGGTGCCATGAAAGCGCAACCGTCCCGGGACACAGCATCAGGCCCAGAAGTAGATTTATAGGAATACATAAAACATAGCTGTAAACGGAAATAAACAAAGCCATGGAGTTTGTCCTGGACCCGAGCCATCTGCTTGCATCGCGAAAACCACGCGTCGCGCGCTGCAATGCCAGTAAAGCTTGCCATCGCCACAAAACAGCAAAGCAAAACACACGTTGTTAAAACAAACAACAACGGGGATAACGGCTCGCCGGTCAACACGGCTCAGTTTCTAAAAACACAAAGGGGCTAATGTCTCAACACAGCTACCAAACATACACACCGCTATATGACTACTCCACAATAACACAGTAATCCTCCTCTTCTTCCAGCTGAACTGCCGCCATGCCAGCCGTCCCCGCGCCGATGCCCGTCTCCGCCGGCTGAGTACGCGCGCGCGGCACCAGCGGGGGCACGCCAGCCGCCCGGGGCCCTGCCGATGACCGGCCCGCGAGGTCCTCAACGTCCTGGATGAAGCCCTGGACATCTTCCTTACCCTCTGCACTTGGAATCACCCCGAACGCGACGGGGATGCCATTGTCGTGCTGGTCCACCACGAGCAAAGAAATGACCGGGTAGTTGTAGCTCGTGAGGCCGTACATCGCATCCATGAGTACAATCCGGCCCACGTACAATTTCAGCAGCTGCACCAGCCACGGTGCCGTGAGCGTGAGCCGAACGACCCGTGCTGCCGGCCCCCCTCCGGCTGCTGCAGTCACCCCTGCCGTCGCCGCCGCTGCTGCTGCTGGCATAGCACTCCGCCCCCCCGCCCCCACCGCCGCTGCCGTGTTACCCGGCCCCGCCATCACCACTCCAGCACCCGAGGCTAACGTAGCCACCGCCGCCCCTGCTGTAGCTCTCAGTCCCGCCGCCGCCGCCACTGCTGATGCCGTGTCGCTGGGCCCTGCCGCCGCCACCCCAGCCGTCGAGGCTGCTGCGGCCGCCGCCGCAACTGTTGTAGCTCCCGCCCCTACCCGTGACACCCCCATCGCTGCCGGCCCCCCTCCGGCTGCTGCAGTCACCCCTGCCGTCGCCGCCGCTGCTGCTGCTGGCATAGCACTCCGCCCCCCCGCCCCCACCGCCCCCACCGCCGCCGCCGCTGCCGTGTTACCCGGCCCCACCACCACCACTCCAGCACCCGAGGCTAACGTAGCCACCACCGCCCCTGCTGTAGCTCTCAGTCCCGCCGCCGCCGCCACTGCCGATGCCGTGTCGCTGGGCCCTGCCGCCGCCACCCCAGCCATCGAGGCTGCTGCGGCCGCCGCCGCAACTGTTGTAGCTCCCGCCCCTACCCGTGACACCCCCATCGCTGCCGGCCCCCCTCCGGCTGCTGCAGTCCTCGCGCCGGCGCTGTTATCTGCTGTTGATACTTATACAGAACGGCGTCTCCATAGAGATGCAGGGTGCTGATGGTCCCACTGACGTCGTCCTGCTGATGCCTGCCGGCCCTGTCGTTCCGCTTTTGGACTGCTCTGATGAAGGCATTGGAAGGATTGAAGCGTGGCGAAACAACTGCTTCTGCCGCGGACATGCACCCAGTGGAGACGTACTTCTCCGCCACCTCGCGAAGCTGGTCAGCGAGGAGCACTCAGCCGGCGGAGACGGGCATCGGCGCGGGGACGGCTGGCATGGCGGCAGTTAAGCTGGAAGAAGAGGAGGACTACTGTGTTATTGTGGAGTAGTCATATAGCGGTGTGTATGTTTGGTAGCTGTGTTGAGACATTAGCCCCTTTGTGTTTTTAGAAACTGAGCCGCGACCGAGGGTGTTGACCGGCGAGCCGTTATCCCCGTTGTTGTTTGTTTTATCAACGTGTGTTTTGCTTTGCTTTTTTGTGGCGATGGCAAACTTTACTGGCATTGCAGCGCGCGACGCGTGGTTTTCGCGATGCAAGCAGATGGCTCGGGTCCAGGACAAACTCCATGGCTTTGTTTATTTCCGCTTATAGCTATGTTTTATGTATTCCTATAAATCTACTTCTGGGCCTGATGCTGTGTCCCAGGACGGTTGCGCTTTCATGGCACCGGCAACTGCGGTGGCGCCTTGCAAGTTCAGTTCAGTTATCTTGAATATAACAAATAAAACATCACAGTACTAGAGAAGCAGTATCTTTGAGGAAGTACATGAAAGCGGTACCAACTAACTCCAGGGTGGGGCTGACTTCGAGTCAGGGCCCCCAGGACTGCGTGCATGAACGCCCATTAGCCTCTGAGCCGTACAACGTCGAAGTGTTCGTGACAAAAAGGGCAAAACGCTCACACAGGTGGTGCCTCGTCCAGATTTTGCAACAGGCGCAGTATGCAACAGTGCAGCTTTCGCATTAGGCCATATGCCATAAGGGGCTGACGTCGCCCACCCTTGGCTCTTGGGGACATGCACCTTTGATACGAACTTGACTGCCTCTCGTTCAATGTTCGCACGCGTTACCATTGGGATGTAGGTAAACCGTCCTGCATTCGACGCCTGGCGCGGTAAGAAGTGTGTAGATTGGGATGCGCTATTACGGACGCATAGACAAGTATGGTTGTCCCATTTCGCGAAGGCTGAGGAATGAAGCTAAGCTAGTCGGCAGCGTCTGCATGGCCACGGCTGCTTGAGCCTTTGGGCATAGTCACAGCTCTGACCTCCGTGCCGTACTCGTTTGCAATGCGACCTATATCTTCTTCGAGGAATATGGCTACCTGCACAAGGCATTTACACGCAAGTAAAGTCGAGAAATGCACACGGTCGGGTAGCATGGCCAGGCTGACAAATACGGAAGATTGTATGTGAAGGACTGCTTTTCTCGTTCATCTTTGTGCACCCCGTATGGCGGTTGGCCTCGCCAGTCGCCAGAACCTCCAGTACCTGCTCAGGACTGGTCAGGATATCCTTACGCAGATCACACGCGTAAGGACCCGTCTCCTTGGCTTCCGCGGCAGGCAGCTTCGCGTTCTCTGGAGCCTTTCGTCATTTACGTCCTCGTAACATCTGCATCGTAAAGTAGTGCATCCTAGGGTTTGTAATGCACTAGGGTCGCCGTTTTGTGTCTTGCAGAAACGGAGGATAAGTTGCACCGTCAAGCATGTCCCTCAAGAAACGAAGGACTGCCTTTTCACCTTCACGTGTCTTGAACGTGGATTCTAGCAATACGAGGTGTTGACAGGGCGAAAGAGTGGTCCAACACTCTTTCGCCCTGTCAACACCCTTATTGCTAGAATCCAGCTGGACGATGCTATTTCCGTCTATCCTCCAAGAAAAGAATCCATGTTCCTCCTCCATGTTCCTGCTTGTTTAGCGGCCGAACGTCCATGCAAAGAAGAAATGCTGGAGCCTACAGGCAGCGTGCCTTCAGGCTTAGGTTGATCATTCATTTATTGCTCGGTTGGCTGTGACGCCACCGGTGGCTGGGATTTATGAAGGATCATGGAAAAGGTTTACGGTTTACATTCTGCCCAACACTGCCTTTCAGATATCTGTTCCTCATGATCGATTGCCTATACATCTATTGCCACCTAGGAGATGTCAGGAGTTCAGGCTGTCCGTACTTTGAAATACATCGGCAGATTGGAACCTTTCATCCCAGCCCCAACGTTAATGTTATTTGGATTGCCCTCTACACATTATGATATACTTGTAATTCTCTGAAGCACGTTGTCCAGGATCCCCTGTGTTTCCTATGGTTTTGTAGTCATCCTTCAGATTGTTGCCTGCAATTATGCAAACAGTCAAGCTTAGCACGTCGAAGTTGTCTGTGCGTCAACTTCATGGGTGGCGCTGCAAGGGCTTCCATATCCCATCCAAACGTGGAAGTCGCGCAGCTGCGTTGCCTAGTCTTCCCGAGCTGCCTGAGGTGAGATCGCAATTCCAGAGCCTACATGCAGTCTTATGAATGCCGAACCCAACTGACGACCCATCCGACCCACTAAACGCGTCGCGAGCTGTAGCACGACATTCCTAACATAAAGTTCTCTATGGCCACAGATAGTGGGCCATCCTGGTCTTGCAACAGGCGCGCTATGCAATAGTGCGGTTTTCACGCTGGGCTACACGGTGCTCCGCAAAGGATTAACGCCGTTGGGTGTGGCGCACGCTTGGTTTTTGGGAACAAGCGTCTTCTCTGCATTTGGACTTGGTGGCTACTTGCTCGTGTGCTTATACTTCATCTTTGGTACGCTGGTGAGCTGCCTCGCGGGAGGATTACAGATTTGGGCTCCTGTATGGGCGTCCTTGGCTCTGTTAGTCCCTAGCTGTGAGCACCAATTCCTTGCGTGATGCTGTGGTGTGTTTTCAAGAGTCTCGATTGATTTTTTAGTGTGGTCGATTTCCGTGGCTTTCAGGTCACCAAGATTAAATTGGAGCAGAAGCAGAAGGAGGGCATTGCAGAGGCGCGATCCGGCCAGCGCGGACCAGTAAGGTGTTTCCGCTTCACGCAGAGCGAGCCCGGGAAGAAACATAAGGGCCGCACGCTTAGCTGCGGCTGTTGGGCCTATGGCTATGGCTATAGGGACAATCTAACCAATTTCTAGTTGTTTGCGACACGGTACCGTTCTTCATTCGTGGCGTGTGCCCACCTATCAGCCCCCTTGTGTGCAGAGAGTCCTTATCCCTTGCCAACGCTCAAACCTGCTTAATTTTTTAATTTTTCCTTGGTGCAGAGCAGTGTATGGGGCTCAGGTATTGCTGGAGTCGCATGTGCATTGCTGGCTCTCCTCACAGGGGACTACGACGTCTGGCAGGTGAGCTGTAGTTGGTGCGTCACCGAAAGGAACAGTCTGACTGGGAGAGTAAAGAGTATTAGAGGTCCAAGGCAGATTCCTGGGTTTTATAATTTCCGTTGCAGCAAGTCCGGGGACGTATTATTTTACTCGTCCGACGCAGTGCTGATGGCTTTCGTCCCACATTGTCCAACAATGCGCGCACGGCACGATTCCTTTCCCCGCAGATAGGCTTCGTTGCAAGCTTCTGCAGCAAGCTCTCAGATACAGTATCCAGTGAAATAGGCAAAGCGTATGGTCAGACAACTTACCTTATCACCAGCTTCCAGCTGGTACCTCGTGGCACCGAGGGTGCCGTCAGCCTGGAGGGGACACTTGCAGGCGTACTCGCGGCAGTGCTGTTTGCAGCCACGGCACTGATCGCAGGGCAGGTGGGTAACTCTTACATACAGCTCCCGTACACCTCTGAAACTCCTAGGGAAGTCATAGGCCTGGTTTCAATCCATTCGTGCTTCACGGTTTTCGGTTCCTTTGTTTAAAACAGCGAAGTGCTCAGCAAACGCTTTGTGGCGGGTTGCTCAAGCATGGCGATGCAGTTGCCCAGCTATGCTTTATGCGTATGGTCTGCTGGGATCTATTATCGTGCTTTCCATATTTTGCATATGTGCCGTGTGGTGTTGAGCAGGTGCCTGACATCGCCTCGGCGGGGGTTGTGGCGGCCGCAGCCACAGTTGCCAACCTGGCGGAGAGCTACCTGGGTGCATCTGTTCAGGGCAGGATCTCATGGCTAAACAATGACATAGTGAACATGCTACAGATCACCCTGGCTGCCGCGATTGCCATAGTCATGCGCCTTACTCTCCTGCAGGTTGCTTGAGAAGGGCATAGGGGAACGGTATCCTGCCGGGGCCTTCCATGCGCCCGGAACGGACGAATGAACCAGCTTTAGATGTTTCAGTTTTTCTCAAATTATTGTTGGGATGAGCGTATCCAACCGCAGGACATTTGCGAGTGTCCTGCAATGCTTTGTCCAGGATGGTTATGAAATGCATACATTTACGAGTTATCCAGGCACCCGGTGGATTTGCATTGACCATGCCAGAGCGTGTGGAACGGCCCCTTCTTTGGGCATATTAGCAGGACTTCCATTTAATTGATTTATCGATCTTAAATATGGCTCAATGGTATAGCATGCACGTTCTTCGGTTTGTACAGCTATTTCAGGGGCGCATATCCAGGCCTCTGGGGAGATACAGCTACTACTCCGTGTGCCTGCTGTTGTGACCAATTCCCAACATTGGGGAGGATTCTAATCCTTTCTGCTGCAAAGCACACTCAGATGTAAAACTGGAGGCTTGGATCGGCAATATCTGCTGCATCCAAGTAAAATACAACGTGCCTAAACAAGCAGAACATGTTTTGCTGTATATCAAGATAATCCTCAAGAGTTACACGATGTACGACTGGTCATAATACACTCGGACTGCAATGATGCCGGTCAGCTATACGCCGCCAAGCCCTCTCAACAGGACTTCACGCCGCCTAGAATCGCCTACAATCCAAGCCATCCCGCTCATGGTGCTGCTACTGGGGAAACTTCGTCAGGGGACACTCACGGTCGAACACCGCATGATGCCTAACGGAGCACTCGAGCAGCAATCGCAAAACGAAGAAACAAAAACATCCACAACGCACTCGAGTCTCCGACTTCAACGAGAACAGGTTTGGGCAGGAAGGAATCGTGTAGACCCCTAGCAGCCGAAGCCGGCTGCCCTACGGAACACGAGTCTGTATTTGGGCGGAATGCAAAGGCCTGTGGTCCAGTAACACGTCACCATGCCGTACAACGCCGCTGTTCCGGACGGCCACCCACCTCTGGGTTGCTCCTTGCGATAACACCAACATTCAGTAACCGTCCCCCCAGAAAAAAGCCAGCGTGTCAGCCCGCCAAGTGCATTGGAGCTGCATACTTAAGCCCCTACAACTCACTGCGACAATGCTGATTCCCACCTGCACGCGGCTCGTGTCCAAACTCCCTACCCAGCACGTGAAGCATGCACGCCGCAGCGCCGTGTGCAGCTGCGGGCTCAAGCAGGACCACCGCTGCAAAATTACTTCGGTAACTGCAACCTGCGCACCCCTGGCAGCGAAGCATGCATCCCGCTTGACATGATGCGAACAGGCAAAGATACACGAGGAGTGCAAGCATTTACAACCATCTCATCCCAGTCACGGTGAGCTGTAGTCGGCATGCTTAATGAGCCTCCAATCAACTTGTGGCTGTCTCTTCAGGAGGAACATCCTCAACCCAGGACGCCTCCACCACCTCCCGTACTCGACGGTTGTACTCGCGCCTGCACAACGATGCAATGCAAAAGTGGCTTGGACATGGGGACGCAAGATTGATGCACGAGTGAATCCCTGATCCCCGACACCGCAATGTAATGCATCTACGGGCGGAAAAAGACGGAGTCGTTGGCCAAGCACTATTGGCCATTCATCTGCCGCCGGGATCCAGCACATCACCAATTTACACCAAGCAAGCAAAGAGGGCATCTGCGCATGTCCATATTGTTCCTTAAATCCATGTTAATCTTTAATGATAGGCCCGTGCACAGCGGCGCACCTGTTTTCGTTGTACAGACGCGCCGCCTCTCCGTTCGCAGGCGAATTGGGGTTGGGGTCGGACAGAAGGCTCTGCACACCGGTGACGGGTATGTCAGTTGCAATTGGGTTATGCACCCTCACCATGACCCCGACCCATGCGACGGAGCCCCCTGACCTGGATAGATGTCAAGATAGCAGCCACATCGTAAATTGGACTCCATTGGTTCTGGAGGATGTCCAGGCAAATGCTCCCATCCGCATAAACGTTCGGATGGAATAGTTTGGACTTGAACTTTACGGTGGGTGCCTTGTTTGGGTATTCCTCCGAAAACTCCATCGTCAATTTGAACGTGCCTAAAAGGTGAGAAGGGTCGTCATGGTGACCGCGGGCACTGACCCTCCCTTTCACTTCTAGGCCCAACGCTCACCACCGTCCCATGGCGTATCCTCAGGACCAAAGATTACGCAGTTCCAGAGCATTATATTGTCCGGATTAGGGCTCCCATTCACGCCTTGAGGAGGATCCGAGCTCAACCGGCGGAAGTCCCTCATTAAGCGTTTTCGAGCAGGTGTGCTCATGATTGCTGAGCGGCTGGTTAGCAGCTAATCGCTTCAGAACCTGTACTGTGTGCTGCCGCTTTCTGCGGCCACGAACTGCCTCGTCACAAGCAATTTGCACTGCAGGTGTCTCCTACAAAGATGGAACTAATTTATAATGGATAGGCCGGGGCTGGCCTGTCAGGAGGACGGCCAACCCCGTAATCGTCAAACTCCGTAAATTTGGAGCACCGGTGAATTAAATTCCTATATCAGAACCAACGTGAACTGTACACTCCTTGCAAACTTCAGCTCAGAGTATAGCATGAAAGGCAGAGGCGCTTGGTTTGTTGGCACTGGCAGTACATGAAATCGTACCGTACGAGCAAAGGAGTCACAGCGACTGAGAGGGACAACGAGTGCGCTACAACGAGCGACATGGGGCTTACCACCAACCCTTCTCATAATGTCCGGCCCCTTCTAACATCCACATTCTTTCGACCCCGTCTTCTGAGTGCAGCTGGAGGTTGCTGGACAGTGCCGGGCCTTCGGCTGAGACCCCGCCTCTATGCCGAAACCCATGAACAATCATCAACCATCACAACAACGCCATATTGCATCACATCTGCCACCATCATCCGCCACCTGCAACCCTTGAGCCGATTTCGTGGACCGTACAAGAGCTGGCCCGTGCAGGACACACAATACAGCACCTGCCCCAGAGTGTGTGTCCTGCACCGGGGGGATGCAGCTTCAGTTTAGTGTAACCCTCTAGCCGAAGAGATTGACTCGGGATGAGTTTCGGGAGTTTGGGTTGCCTTCCCCACGTTTCAGGAAGCTTTTAGGTCCCATTTCCTACGTGCATAGATAGACCCGGCCACAAGGAGACCTGCTGTCATCCCATTCTGCTCATTCATCATCCCCATTGTGAATTCAATGCTAATGGCTTGTCATGGCATGGCTCTGTCGGATTACGTTAACTGCACTTGTGACAAGTTCACATCTTCATCGCTGCTTTGGCCATTAGGCACTGCGTCATGTAAGCACAACCTCCACTAAAATGTGCCCACTGGCAAGGAAAGGCTTGGCCATTCCCATGCTGCCATTGACTATCCGGCATAACTCTAGCAAGGGTGAGATGACATACCTAAATACCTGCTGGCAAGCCCTCCGCCCAACCCAATTGGTTCAATAATATCGTCATGTTTTATCAAGCCGAATATGACTTACACAGGATGGATACTTGGTCAACAGCAAAGAATTATGGCCGTCTCTGAGCTCTGCACACAACTCAACTCAACATGCTAAGCTTTGAATAAAAGCAATAATATGAAGTTATCAAAAATGAAACATTCGGGCGTTTGCACGAGCACCATTACCTGTGCTGCGCTTTTTGTAGGCGTTATGCCGTACGAGATAAATATAGAGCTCTGCCTTAACCCGGAAGAGTATTGCAATTTCATACATTCGACACCATGGCCCTCAAGAGTGCGACCTGCATTCAGCGTGCTGCTGCAGCCCGCAGCGAGGCTTTCTTGGCCGCGCTGCCGGCTGCGCGGGTCGGCACCAGCCCTGTCGCGTCGATGCGCGTGATGCTGCCGTCCTCTTCTGTGCAGTCATCCAGTCTCTTTAGGACGACAATCCAGAAGGCAGCTGTTGGTCGCGCGCTCAGCGTCAAGGTCTCTGCCGTTAACGGCTCGGGCCTTAAGGTCGACCTGCGTGGTAAGCACTGAGCGTTACTTCCCCAGACCTCACCAACCGAACATGCTGAAGCAATTGAGCTGGTTTGTAGGCAAGAAGGCGTTCATTGCGGGCGTTGCAGACGACCAGGTGCGTTTTTGCTTGCACAAAGCCAATGGATTGGCGAATAAAAACTGTAATGGGCCCACCAACTTTCATCGCTTTTTTACTGTTACATTTTATAAATACAGGGTTTCGGATGGGCTATTGCGAAGGCTCTGGCGGAGGCCGGCGCGGAGATCTCCCTGGGCGTTTGGGTGAGCGCTCATGTGTCAGGGTAAATAGGCGTCGTTGCTCTTTTGTCGAGGTTGAAGTGGTGGACGGCATGGACGGAAGTACGTTTGGGTGCTGCGTTTTGGCGGGGTCGCTGATACGGCGAACACTGCCATCCCATGCGCGTCCCCCCGCGGCATGTTGCGGAGACAACGACCGCAACCCCCGGTCGTTACTCAATGCGCACATTTCCCAGGGCATTCTCTGTACCTGCCACGGCTATGCTCACCTGGAGTTTAGACTCCCGCAGTGTCACTGTCCGACGGTGAACCCCCTTAACAGATCAGCCACTGTGTCTGCAACAAACGCAGCCAGTATCAAGGAGGATGCATTAACTTCAGCTTAATAGCCTCTGGGTTGTTCTGGCGACCCACAGGCTTGTTCCTAGGTCGGATTCCTAGGTCCAGAGATTTTTTGTGGGGTGACCTCCCGTTGCAATGATGACGTCGTGTTCGGGTTTCGGACAGTTTGAGAGTCGGCCGGATGTACGATAGCATATAATGCTCACTTGGGTCAGCTCCCTGCCTCCCAGCTTCCTGTGCTGTCAATGCGAGCAAACCTGGGACCGCGACGTCATTTGGCCTTTCCGTACCCCATTAAACGCACTCGCCAGCAGCTGCTCCCTCCCCCACATGTTCTTGTGAGTTTTGCGCATGATTTCCCCCCATCGACCCATGTATGAGTCGCTCCACGCGTGCACTGCCCGTCCATGCCCCGTTGTAATGGCTGCTCCTGCTGCCATATGGGCCCTTTCCCTCACCGCGCGCGCGTCCCCTTTCAGTACACGGCGTTGTTTTAGGGCGGTGTTTTATTCAATACTTGGGCGCCCGTCTGCTTTCTTTCTACACCAGGTTCCCGCGCTCAACATCTTCAAGACCAGCTTGGAGAAGGGCAAGTTTGATGCGAGCCGCAAGCTCTCGGACGGCTCCCTGATGACCTTCAGCCACATCTACCCCATGGATGCCGTCTTCGATACCATGGCGGATGTCCCTGAGGAGGTACGGCAGTGGTAACGGCGGTGCGGTGGGTGGATTCAACGGTGATGGCCCTGGGGCGTTTGGGCCTGAGCAGCGCAGCATGTACCGGGGCGTTGTAATATGTATGGAGAGTGTCTCCCGGAGGTTTCAAACCACTTTTTTGTGACAGCTTACAGGGAGCCGTTACTTGCAGCTCCGACTTTGGGGAGCACTTACCTTTTCGGTTCAGGGAACAACACTGTTGTGACGATATATGTGTGTCAAGTGGATCATGATGACTACTTTTCCCGTGAGCCCATGGTCAAGACAGCAGCTGTGCCAGTGGCAGCCCAGCGAATCAAAGCGAATCCTAATTCTCCGTCGTCGCTACATGTCCATGAGCAGTGCTGCGCCCCGGCCCTCCATCCCGTCCTGCCATGCGATCGACTGTGCCAGGTTGCTACAAACAAGCGTTACGCAGGCAACAAGAACTGGACGGTGTCGGAGGTGGCGGAAAGCGTTAAGCAGGACTCTGGCAAGATCGACATCGTGGTGCGACATCCGGGCTGGGAACTTGTTTTGCGGCTGATTGAGATTTGCCACCTGCTGCGACACGGCGGGAGCAGCGTATTGTATGGGAGGCCAGGATCACGGGAACTCCATGGCCTTGATATCGGGAGCGTATAGAACCGAAGGCGGGTTTAGTAGGGGCCCATGGGACACTGTACGCAATGTCTTTTACGGCATCAGACGTAAGGAAGCCTTCCTGGTGCATGCTAGGGGTCGTTGTTGGGATATGTTATATGAGAATACGAGGTATGTTGAAGGTTGTCATGGGTTTGTGGCTTATGCGCGGGCACCGTTCTGGCTTGTATATCGAATGACGTCCTCCTTTCCATCCCGCGTCCCTGTCAAACTCCCTTTCCCAAACTTCCCCCTAAACTTCCCCCCACCTTAAAATAATAAGGTGCACTCGCTGGCTAACGGACCCGAAGTGGTGAAGCCGCTGCTGGAGACCTCCCGCAAGGTTAGTGCGAGTGCGGATGGGAATGTGCTAGTGGACACCAAAAGAGCCTCACTGCCTTGAGAGCCTTGGCGTACTCTTACCTTTTCCCTTACGTTCGCATGAGGTCCTCGGTTGCGTTGCGTAAGAGACCCAACACACATCCGCATCCCCGCACGTGAAGGCTCGTGCATACGTGTTTTACTTCCTCCTGCAGGGCTACCTAGCGGCTCTGTCGGCCTCGTCGTATTCGCTGATCTCCATGGTTCAGCGGTTCGGACCGATTATGAAGGAGGGTGGTGCGGTCATCTCCCTCACCTACAACGCCTCCAACAGAATCATCCCGGGTTACGGCGGTGGCATGTCGTCTGCCAAGGCGGTGAGCTTGGCCGTAAATTGCTAAACCTAAACTACAGAGACTGCTTAATGCGTGTGTAAAACGTCGCACGGATATTCCGGGAGCTGCTATGTGATTATGTGTGTCTATCCGACTACGGTCTGTGCGTCAGACCTGCCACACGCAGAGAGCGGGTCGTGTCTCGGCGATTCTGCCTGTGGTGGCAAGGGACAGCTGGATCGGAGGCGGTCTTTGGTCCATCCCTTGCCCGAGGGCATATGAGACTGCATGTAATCCCTTTCCAATTGAGTCCTAAAAGTTAATCTCCAATTCCCTCGCGCCAGGCGCTCGAGTCTGACACCCGTGTGCTGGCGTACGAGGCCGGCCGTAAGTTCAAGGTTCGTGTCAACACCATCTCTGCCGGGCCGCTGGGCTCGCGTGCTGCCCGCGCCATTGGCTTCATCGACGACATGATCCGGTACGACATTTTTTTACATTCGTGACTGTCGTGCGACGTTGCTTGGCAAATGGGCAAATCGAACTGTTTGAGATTGTCGATGACGCATGTGACAGTGTGTGGTATGGCTTGGCGAGGGCGAAATGGTACTCCTCGTGCGATTTGTATGTGAGAATCATACACGTGTAAAGTCATCACGCACATGCTCAAGTAAGGGTCCGGGGTGTGTTGACGCCGCCAGCTTACCCAGTCCACTGGAAGTGCCACAGCCCTTCAGGTGAATTCCCGGGTCTCATTCGCTGTCATTTGTAGGTATTCGTACGAGAACTCGCCAATCCAGAAGGAGCTTGCCGCCATTGAGGTTGGCAACGTGGCCGCCTTCCTGGTGTCTCCGCTGTCCTCCGCCGTTACGGGCCATGTCATGTTCGTGGATAACGGCTTGAACGTCATGGGCATCGCGACTGACTCCAAGACCCTGGACCGCCCCGAGTAGGCGAATCCACATGGTGAACCTGACCGAACGGCAGCTAAGGGGATGGGACGAGTGGACGACGGATAGACGGCGATGAGAGAATGGGTGACTAGGAGAGTGGCGAAGCCGGTGAGCACTGCTTCAGCTGTTTAGTCTGTGGATGCGTCGGGCGAGTTGAGATCGTCAGGTCTGGTTTTCGGAATCGGTAGAACGGAAATCCAACACGTATATAATAAAGGAGGCCTCGGAAACATTGAAGGTGGGTGTAGGTCGGGCGGAGCAGGTCGGAGTTTGGAGGAACCAGGCGGTCATGACAGTTTTGTATTTGGCTGAGAAGCTGCAGTCATGGCTGAGGCGGAGGCAGATGGCTGTGCGGTCCTACTGCGGGGTGGGGTGAAATGTTGCGGAACGGCTTGGCTGCCCGGGCCCGGTGATTGAGATTGGGGTTACGGGTGTGGCGCATCATCCTGTATGTGTACTTATGTGTGGCTGTCGCTGTTTTGCCGCAAATAAGCACCTCCCTCACACGGATGTGACGTTATGACCCACACCTCCCTCGGTAGCGAATCCGTAAAGCACGTCGGTGGTTTGGGCGCATGTTCCGTGTCCCACACAACACGTCACACCGCCCTGGGCTATCAGGAGTGGCGAAACATCTCTGGATGTGCGACCCAAGACCGTAACAATGTTGCACCTCAGGTTCTACTGTTTTTTTGACAATTGACTATACTGAATGCAGTTCGGACTTGATCGGCAGTCTATGACGCTACTGTAAGATACAAGCATTCGTTGAATCCGGTCATAACTCTGATCGAACTAAGAAAAATCGGAATGTGGTGGATTATAAAATAATTAGGCTTTTTGCACCTGTGTGGCAACAACTGTGTGACGACAGATGTAGCAGCTTAGTAGATTGCACGATGACGTTTTACACTATAGCCCAAGCAACGGCCACAGAAGGCACGAGTGAACCAACCACGCGGCGAGCTAGTCTGCATGTCCTCCTGCCGCCTACGTGGACCGTGGTGGTGGTGCAGATCACAGCAGCAGGACCGATACACTGCTGCCGCTGTTGCTGGCATAAGGCCGAATGAGCTGCTCAGCAAGGCTTTATGGGGGCATGATGCACCCAGCAAAGACCTCACAGCTGTTTTTTTTGAACGGTGGGAGCTCCGTCGCGCTCAGCGCCAGTTAGCTTCTAGCCAGGATGGCCACACGACAGTCCCGCAGCAATCAATCCCACCAGCACTTGCCGTGTGGCTATCCTGGCTAGAAGCTGACTGGCGCTGAACACGACCTCTAGCGACCTGTGGGACTGCTGTCGCCTAAGCGCGGACATCCAATACTCGCCAATGACCGATGTTGAACCCCGCAAGGTAGACGCCTGCGCTGATGTTGTGTTCCTCCACCACACAAACACACATCACCCTTGCCGTCTGACGCCGTGTCGAAAGCGTGTCGCCCTGCCCCAGCCATATTTATGCGCCCAACCTGGCCCGACAGCTTACTGCCAGGGACAGGGCGAATGATATTTGCTGTTGTCAAGGCGCTTTAAAGCCATGTGGCTTTCGATGAGGAATGTAATTTCGTTGACGGGACCATGGATTGCCCATAATACATCCTCCTCCAGCCCGGCAGTCGTTGAATCAGAAGGCCCTCATTCCATTGCTGCTGCAGCGACATGCAGCGACTGCTGCTGGGCACCGGAAGCCTCGCCGCTGCTGTTTCAAGCAACAATGAATCCCCGTTGATAAGGACAATAAGCACCTCAGAGGCTGTAGCCGGGTGCGGCCGCAACCACGCGCTGCGGAGTGAAGGGGGCCGCATACCTGAAAATGCGCTGCGGTACCCTGGGGCGCTGTGCTATTTGAATGTTGCTCTCCAAAAACAAGAAACTCAACGTCCATGATGGGTACGAAATTTACAGGGCACCAAGTACATAAAGCATTTTGTGGAAATTAGTGAGCGTTCAAATTGCGGCTGCGTTGGACGTGAAGACTCGCCGCTAGTGGGTAGGTGGATTGGTTCCGCAAGAAAGCAATTGCGCTTCAGCGTCTTCTTGCGCTTGCCCGTCTCAGGATGTTCCCGCACATGGCGTAGCCGAAACATTGCACACATTAAGCATCGGGCAGGAGGTTGGGCAGGAGACTTGCCATATGAATCATGCGGTACATTAGTGACTATGAGAGACCAAGAAGGTATGGGTACCAGCGTACGTGCTGCGTCGCCTTGGCAGACCCAAGCTGATGTCGCCGCTTTACTTCCTGCCGGTTTAAAAGTTTGCGCTAGTAAGGGATTGGCACCAGATGCACCGATGAATGAGCGGAGGTGCGCCAGACGCTCTGGGCTGTCGGGCGGAGCCAGGGCTGACTGCTTGCGACCTGCAGCAACCATGTTGGTCAGTGAAATTAGGTTTAAAAGACCATATTGGCACTTCACGTCGCTGTGATTTGTGGCGGATTAATCTTGGTAAACTTGAGCCCAGGCGCCGCGACACGAAAAAACTGAAGGGATCATAGATTAATCCGCCATAAAGATGTGGCAACGTGCTTTGTGAAAACAAAGAAAAATTCATACATAGATGCTAGTGGGATGGAATGCTCACGCTTTCGCATACAATTACCGTACGCGAGCAAGTTTCAACCAGTCCAAAAAGGTAAGCTCGTTACAGATTTACCCTTTAGGACTATCTTACGTCATTAGCATGACTTAGCATGCGGGCGTTATTGAAATGCATCCCTTTTGAGGAGCTTCAGAATGAGGAAGCGCAACCTTTCGGACTTGGTTGAGCTTTTTGTGGTGCTCAATATTGTTTTTCTTGTGACTTTGCCACCCCTTGTGGCATCTACTGTGCTGGGCAACGCGAGCTCTTCAAAAGATTTTTTCGTGTTATTGTCCCAGCCTGGCATACAGAGAATCATACTGAACAATGACATTTCTTTGGACCTGGAGGATGCACCGACTCTGCCAGTCAATTTGACGGCGAATTTAACTATCGTAGCAGGCCTCCCTTGGCCTCAGGTCGCGAGCCTCGCAGGTTCGTTAGCGGTATTTATTGCAGTCTTATGTAACTTGCCCACTGCCTTTAGGGTTGCGCCAACTGTTTGACTCCAACCCGTATTACCTCGTCCAGCCAATTACATTGCAAGCAAGATCAGGCTTGCACCCTTCGTTACGTTGACCTTTGAGCGCATTATTCTTTCGGGGACTTTGAGAGGGTAAGTGCCACGTGTGCACGGTGCCGGGTGAGCGTCGGACTCAAGGGGATGAGAACCCACGCAACGAACAGAATTCCCTAGAACGGTTAAACTTATTATTGCGTATGGCTTGCTTATGGAAGCTAAAAGTTGCAATGCGGACTTGGGCATTCGAGTTGAGCATAGGTCGATATCCGAACTCTACCACACCACCATACTGCACTGCCTTTCTCCAGTGTAAGAACCTCTGCTGCAGCCCCTTGGCTCCATCGGCGCCCTGCTTTGCGGGTACTCCCTGAACACCAGTCCACGCAGTTTCTTTGTCCCCTTGAACATGCAAATAACTGCTCCGCAGGACGGGTCAATACCTTGACTTGTTGACACGGTCAGATGGCGGCGCAGTGCTATACAACCTCAGCATCAACCACCGGCACGCATGGTGAGTGGCCCCCTCTCCCCCCTCTTCCCAGCAGCAGCTTCACTCGTTCGTGGTTCGTCCTTCCTCCTCTTCACACAGACCACCTAGGAATGGATATTCGCAATTCAGGCTCTGACAGGCCGTCCCTGGACCCGGCTCTGACGTGCTCCGCGTCTCGCCCTATTACATCCGCCCAATCCCTAACGCGTCCCACCCTGGCACCACCCATGCAGTCTGCCGTTCGACTTGTTCTACGAGCAGCTCAACTCGCTGCCGCAACCCCAGCCCGATGCCGGCATGCCCATCAACTATACTGTATCAAACGATCGTGGGCTAATTCTGCGTAACAGCACACTGTGCTGGCTGAACGCCGGAATGCGCAACACGTGCATGGCGCCGTACCTGGATGTGTACGCATACGGCGCGTACAATCAGAAAATTGACGGTGTCATCGGTAATGGCGGGTACAACTCGTTCTTCGTACACTCGTACGGCGTGTGCGACAGGGAGATCAGCCGGGAGTGTATAAAGCAGACGAACGCGGATCTTTGCCTGGCGGCGGCGCTGGCACTGGGAAACCAGGTCGGGTCTTCGGATGGCGCAGACGACGAGGAGGCCGCCTCCACTATGCGGCTGGCGATTGGGCTAGGCGTAGGACTGGGAGGTGGGTCGCGGGCGAACACCAAGGAAAGGATTAACCACAAATGAAGAGAGAAAGAGAGAAACCAAAGTCGCTACCTTTTAAGACACACACACACACGCACATTCCTGGCGTTTTTTGGGGTGAAAACTGTACTGGGGGGGAAACACATCCACGCAAGCCCAGCCCCATTCCTGGCGCGCAGGTGCATTGCTGGTCCTCATGGCGCTCTTTGCCTGGGCGCATTGGCGACACCGGCGGGAGGCGTCCCTGGCAGCATTCGCCACACCGTCCGCCCGTTCCAAAGCTGCACTCAGCACCGCAACCCAGGGGACGCTGCCGGCCGACTTGGCGGGCCTGGAGGAAGGCAGCGGCGAAGGGATCCGCTCCTCTGCGCGGAAGCCCAATGGCGGCGCCGGCGTCACGGTGGCAGGGGTTGGCGGGAGCGGAGCCGCGGCCAGTGCAGCGGAGGCGCACCTGGTGGCAGGGGATGGGGATGCTGGCGGCGGGGGCAAGGGCCGCCTGACAGCGGGGGCGACGGTGGGCAGTACGGGCGCCACGGGCAGCAGCAGCAACGGCAGCAGCAGGAGCAGCAGCGGCGTGACGATTGAGGCGTCCTCGGTGACGAATGGCGGTCAGCGGACAGCTGGTAGTGAGTGCGCGGGTAGTGCAGGTGGGCCACGAAGTTATTGGCAAGGTCATATCTTAAGGATACTTTTTTCAATCAGAACTCCTTCAACTTCCGGAAAACTAATAAATATCCTAATTTGTTTGAACAAAAAATATTGTGTCGGTCGCTATTTGGGAGCGGGGACCGCGGTGAGAGCTGTGGTGCGGCAGGGGCTGCGGGAAGTACGGGTTGTGTGTGGGGGGGAAGAAGGACAAGTTAAGCAGCATCCGTCACCGGCACCACCACTAGCACCGGCATCACCCCCACCCTGGAGCTTGTCCGGGGGGTGCTCCACGTCCTTCGGTGTTTGGGGGTTCAGGCTTCGTCCTCCGGAACCAAACCCTGTTGTAACGGCGGAGATTTGAGGCGGCCAGTGGGGCCGTTTTGCCTCTGTGTGCCCCTCCTCATCGGCCCGTACCGAATCTTCAAATCGCTGCTGGTGCCCTCTTCCTTCTCCGCTTGCCTCCCTCACGTTGCTCCGTGACATAACTTGGCGTCTGCGGGCGCCGCACCTCACGTGTCGTCAGGCTTGGGTGAGGTTGAGGCTGCCCGACTGAACCTGCTGGCCAATGCGGCCAGGGGGCGGGCGGGCAGGTCCGCACCTTTGGACGTCAAGGTCCTCCAGCTGCTGGGCCAGGTGAGATTGCGTTGCGTGTGTATGTGTATATATGCATGTATGCATGTATGTATGTATGTGTGTGTGTGAATGGAGGGGTGCATGGGCGGACGGATGGATGTTGGATGTGAGCGTAGGGCCCCCGTGGGTGGGGCTGAGAAAGGATGTGTGGATGTGAGGAGGGGGGCTACCGCAGGTGGTGGGGTAGAGCGGTGCGGGAAACAGTGGAGGGGGGAGCAGACATGCTTACGTAGTTGCGCAGGACTAAAGGACTAAGGGGGGGAGCTGGCTGGCTTTAAGTTTTTATTCTAGCTGTGGTGGGAGAGGATGAGGTGCTCGGAGGGGGGAAAAGGTGAGGTATGGCGGCAGCCGCGGCAGCCTGCCCTCACCGCAGCAACAGATGCTGCGGCATGCATGTTTACCTTCCATCATTTCCATCACCGTCACCTTCACCATGAACACTGGCTTCATACCATTCGATATCATCATCCAGCCCTGCCGTACACCCCGGCGTTTGCTCCCAGTGGGGTTACCGCGCTGCCACCTGCCCCACTGCTTGATGATGCAGGGGTCGTTTGGCAAGGTGTACAAGGGTGAGTGTTGGAGCGGGTTGGACTGGGCGGTTGCCGCGCTAACGGCGGGGGAATGCTGCTGGCTGGCGGGGAGAGGGGCCATGGGTCTCGGAGTTTGGGCCCGGATGAGGGATAATGGGTGTTGTGTGTGTGTGTGGGGGGGGGGGTTGAACAGCTGGAGCAGGGGGTTGGTGGTTTGCTAGGTCGCCCTCCGTCTAATCCCTCTCCTTGCATGGCCCGGTACTGCTTTGCCGTTGTGCGCTATCCTGGCTGGCAGGCAGGTGTGTCTTGATGTGCTGTTCTGACCGTTACCTTGTCTCTCGTGCCTCCCCCCACTTTGACTGCTCCCCCTGCATCTCCTCCGCCGCAGGTATCTGGCACGGCACCCTGGTGGCCCTGAAGGCGCAGGTGCTGCCGCCCTCGCTCAGTGGGGACGCCCGGCGGCGGCACATGGCCGTCATGGAGGCCGCCATATCCTCCGCCATCAACCACCCAGCAATAGTGCAGACCTACTGCTACAGCTTCCGACCCATCAAGGATACCGTCGGGCAAACCATCATGTAGGTGTGATGGTGCGGTGTAGGCTGGCGCAGTGGTGGTACGGGGGCCGTGGGTGGAAGGGGTGAGGAGGAGAGTCAGTAATGGTGTGGTGGGTGGGTGGGTGGGGGTGTACTGAGTGGGTTTCTAACGGAGGGGGTTGCGGGGGGTCGCGTTTCCCTTCTCCCCCTGCCCTGATGTCCTCCCTTACACACCACAACCACCATAACCACCACATGTTACATGTTACGGTTGGCTGCTTGTGGACAACGCAGTTGCAAACTACAACTTTCATCCCCACGTCCCCCGTTTCTTTCCACTCCTTTTCTCTCCTCTCTCCTCGCGTTGCAGTAAGCACCGCACCAAGTCGTTTCCCATCCGCGAGGAGGAGCCCGAAAAAGAGGACGAGGGGCAGTACGCCGGTGGGGCGGCTTGAGGGGCGGAGGCGGGGCCGGGTTGCTGGTTAAGGGGGTGCAAGTGTCGGTTGGCGCTAGAGGTCTCTGGTTACCGTGGAATGGGTCGGGGAGCATGGGGCTCTGAGGTGCTTGGGCTGATCGGCCTTGTCATCCTACTTTCTTCTCTTCCCCTCCGCTGTTGGGGCCATCAGGGAGGGCATGGAAGCTAGTGTTGGGGCATGGCGGCTTGGTTTCGGAGACCATCACCCCGGTTTTGTAATCCTGTGGTTGGGCGGTTGAGGGATTTCCCGATGCTATCTGTCTGCATGTCTGTCACTTCGGCGGCTCAGCTGGCGACGGGACCGGCGGCGAGGAGGGTTGTGAAGAGGGCGGCGAGGACTATGGCCACGAGCTGCTGCTGGTGCTGGAGTGAGTCTCGGAGTGAAGTGTGTCTGTGTGTGTCTGCCTGTCTGTCTGTCTGACTGCCTGTCCGACTGTGTATATGCGGAGTGTGTAGGGCAGGGTTTGGCCTCGTGGGCATTTGAATGCCACAAAAAGACGTTTTTCCATCCGGGACTTTTCGATGTGATCTGGACGGATGGACCATGACTATCTTTGGTCACATTAACCTTACTTTATACGGTTATAGCTGCTGCTGGTGCCACTGCTGCATTAGCCGCTGCCCACATGCCCCCGCTGCTGAGGTCCATGGTGTCATGACGGTGCAGGTATTGCGATGGCGGCTCCCTCCGGGCGGCTCTGGACAAGGGGTTGTTCCACCAGGGGCGGCCGTGGCCCTGGGACTGGCGGAAAGCCATCCAGGCGGCGGGTCAGGCCGCGACGGCAGGGGCCCAGGGCGGCAAGCTGCCGCAGTTGGAGCGCAACCAAATGAACCAGCCAGCGGCGGCGGCGGCTTCGGCGACCTCGACACCGGCCCAAGGGGACACGACGGCGATTGCCAACCTGGTTGCCGCCATGACGCGAGGCAGCAACTCCTTGCCGCCGGCGAACACCCTCGACGGCCAACACAGGCGCAGCGGCCAGGGTGCGGCAGTGGATAGCAGCGCTGCACAACCGCCGCAGCCGCAGCTTCCAGCGCCATGTGTCGGCGGTGATGACCGTGAGGTCGCTGATGGCGCTGGAGGAGGTGGTGGTGGCAGCGGCGGCGACAACACGAGCTGTCAAGGCTCCGCGACCAGCCGAACGGTTAAAGCTTCGGACCTGGCGTCGAGTGCGTTTCCCAAGCTGGACACGTATGAGCCGGACTTCACGCACGGCGCGTTTGAGGTGATTCTACCGGCGACGGATGATGACGCTGCTGCTGGCGGTGACGGCGATGATGATGGCGGCGGCAGTGGCGGTGCTGCTGTGCCGCCGCAAAGCGCGCCGCAGCCGTCCTCGCACCTGGGGGGGACAACGCTGAACGTTGTCAACACGCTGGCGGGCGCGCCGACGGCAGCCATGTCGTTCGTGTCATCGTTCAACAACGCCTCTGGCATCGGCGCAAGCACCGCAGACAACGCCGCCGCCGCCGCGGCGGCGGACCGACTGGCGATGATGTACCTCCTGCAGCAAGCAGCGGCGACAGTAGCAGCTGGTGCTGACCCCGTTGTCGGCAGTTACGCGAAGATGCTGACGGACTACATTAGCAGCAGCAACATAACCGGAATGAACGCCATAATGGGGGAACTGGCGAGTTTTGGTGCAGTGTCAGCGCTGCAGGGCCCTGCCGCTGTCACCAGCGGTGGCGGCGGCGCCGCCGTCTCGCACTCCAGCGACGGCACGCTGGTGGCACCGCCGCCGCCGGTCCTGGCCAGCACCGTCGCTGCGCCAGCAGCTATGCCCTCGCCAGCAGCAGCGCGAAGCGCCCTCGCCGGCGGCAGCAGCCCCCCCCGCAGCCACGCGAGCCTTCTGCGTATGGCTAGCTCGAGTGCCGCGTCGTCGGAAGCGGGGCCGCAGCAGGCGCCGCAACCGGCAATCCGCTACGTGTTGATGCTGGCGGTGGCGGCAGATGTGGCTAGCGGCTTGCTGCACTTGCACGCGCATGGCGTCGTTCACGGGTGAGTGGCGCGGTCCAGTCCGACTATTATCCGACAGGCCTCAGGGGGCCTCGGAGGATTCCCAAACCCCAGCTCTGGACGGTACCGCCTCTCCCACCCCGATGTGCCAGAAGCAATGTTGTTGTCCTGCCCAGCTACTCACCTGCCTTCTCCCGCGCGCGCTCCGTTTCCGCATTTGTTTTGAGGGGGTGAGTAATGCCCTGCGGCTGTCTTACCCTTGTCGGCTGTCCTTCGTTTTTCTTCTGCAGTGACGTGAAGGCCAGCAATGTGCTGTTGAAGCAGATTGTGGTGTCCGACCCGCTGGAAGCCGCGGGGAGGGCACTGGACACCATGAGCTATGGAGCTGGCGGAGTGGCCGCCAGCACGGCGCCGCTGTCGGCAGGCCCATCGGCAGTGGCGGCGGCGGCGGCGGCCGCGGCAGCAGCAGGCTTGGGCGCCGCTGGTGCTGGTGCTGGTGCTGGCACTTTTGGCGGGGCCTTCGAGCTGCAACGTGATGGTAGTATTGAGTCATCGGGCCGAGGACCCCGGCTGGGGCTTTGCGCTAAGGTGGGAGGTGCGCATCGCGGTGGAAAGGGCACAGCAACTATATATATATATATATATATATATATATATATAACCCTATAGATAACCGTATATAATATATATATATATAACCCTATAGATAACCGTATATATATATATAACCCTATAGATAACCGTATATAAAATAACTTTATATATAACCCTATATTTCTAATATATTACTCTACATAGGGCCTGGAAGGCGGAGCAGCAGACGCATGCATGGCAGAGGCAAGCGCACTGCCTAGGAAACGTGTTTTTGTGCATGGTGGTCCGCCCACCTTGGCGGCCTCCCGTGCACCGCCCCCCCCCGGCCGCAGGTCTCCGACTTTGGCCTGAGTACCATGTTGTCGGCGTCCAACACGGACACGCACATCAGCGCCACAACGGCGGCCGGGTCGCTGTCCCATATGTCGCCAGGTGCGCGGCGGAGGGAGGGTAGGGAAGGGGGAGTTGGGAGGGGGGGTAAAGTTGGGAAGATGGTGGGAGAGAGTTGGACAGAAGAGGACACACCGACTGGGCCTTGTGCGAGGTGAGATGGTTGATGAGAGGAATAGCGTGAGGAGGAGGAGGAGGCGGAGAACGAGGATGAGGAGGACGTGAGAGCAAACCAACCCTGCTGATGTCGTTGTCGCTGCTACTGTTGCGGCCGCACTGTGTACCTGGCTGCCTTTATTTCTTCTAGCGATCTGACCATGCGCCTCCTCTCGCCCTGGCTTTGTTACCCCTCAACCAACAGTACCCGCCCACCTACCTACCGGACTCCGGCTAGCGTCCCTCCCCCATCCGGTATTCCGTGTTACACTGTACCTTGCCGTACGTCGCGAACGTGATTGCCTGACCGTAGCCGTTCCTCAAGTTTACTATTACGCAGCCATCAGTTTGCCTCACTGCTTTTCCCCTTATCCTTATCCTTCCTTTGTGCCACTTCCTTTCCTCCAGAGCTGCTGCTGTGCGGCCACGTCAGCAAAGCCAATGACGTGTACGCGTACGGCGTGTTGCTGTTTGAGCTGTTCACGGGGGAACGTGCATGGGAGGGCATGCCGCGAGCGCTGCTTCCCGCCAGGGTACGTGTATGTATGTATGTTTGTATGTATGTATGTATGAGAGAGGGGAGGGAAGGGGGAAGGATGGGCGCGTGAGGACAACGGCGTGGGAAAGGGACGGAAAAGGAGGGCGCTCTTTGGGGCGGAAGATTCTTGAAACCTGAATGCAGCAGCGGCAAAAGACATGATGATGGTGACGTGTTGGCACTTGGTCGGAAGTTGCCGGTGGGGTTAGTGTGGGCAGATTACCTTGGTATTACCCAGAGGGGGAGACGAAGGGCAGGGGGCAATGGACTTGTTTGCAGAGGAGGCGGACTGGTGCGTTGTGATGACTCTTGCACCGCTGCGGTGGTGGTCACTCGGTTGGCCACCTGTTGCCGCAGCAGCCTTACGGAACCTGCGGAAGGAGGCATCAGATCCGCCTTCCCTCCATCAGCGACTGTCATCCCGCGTGATGGAGTTGCTTTGCTTTACTTTTGTTGTTCGCTGCACTGCAGGTCGCGCTGGAGGGCTGGCGCCCCGTCTTCCCGCCGCACACCCCGGCCGCGTACCGGCAGCTTGCGGAGAGGTGCACAGCGGGGGGCATCAGGGCGGACGGGGCCCTGTGTAGAAGTGGTAGAGAGCAGAGCTGCTCGTAGCGGCATTGCCGATTGGCGATTCCCAGGACGATAATGTTTTGCGACGTCGTCTTATCTGGCGTTTGTCCTCCGCTCCCTTACCTGTCATGCTCATGCACGCACACACACCACACACACACGCACACACACCACACACAAACACCTGGCTAGGCATCACCCGAGCTCCCCATTTGTCTCTCTGTTTGCCAACTGTCTAAACGCCAATCCCATCCGCCCATTCCCCACCCGCCCCGCGGCACCTGGGTGCCTCTCCTGTGGCCGCAGGTGCTGGCTGGCAGACCCCGCGAAGAGGTGAGTTGCTTGAGGGGCAACGTGAGGTGCAAGTGCCTTCGTAAGTCCGCCAAAACACACACACACTTTCACACACACACACACACACCGGAGGGATTGATTATCCCACCGCTCCTGTAGTAGACCTCCGCCACCGGGTGTGCATGTCCTTGTGTGGGTCGCCTGATCCGCTGTGGTCCCCCTCACCTCGCACCTCGCACCTCACGGCCCGCAGACCCACCTTTGAGGAGGTCGTGGCGGTGCTCAAGGACTTGCGGGATGCCGCGGCTTCTGAGATGGTTCCGGAGTGGTTGCCCGTACCCAACCCCCAGATGGCCTTCCTGCAGCAGCTCGCCATGCAACGCAGGCTCCCGGGGGCCCTCCTGTCACCGGCGACACAACAGCAGCAGCACCTGCAGGCGGCGGTGGCGGCGGCAGTGCCATCGCCCCAGCAACGGGTCCGGTAGTGGCAGAAGCAGCAGCTGCTTGGGCTGCTTCTGCTGTACTGATGAACGGCCGCACGGCTCTGTGCGACCGTTTGGTAGGCACTGGCACTCGGAGATGGCCTGGTATGGCGAGGATGAATGGAGCCGTGTTGTATGATGATCGTGATTATGTTTTTCTGCCTGTCTGTCGTTTCATGGATGTGGCCGAAGCAGTCTGAGGCTAATCAAGGATATTTGTTTACGTGCTGTTGATTATAATTGTGGTGATAATGATTTGTTGGTTTTTTGAAGCATGTTTGTACGTATGAATGTATGTGGATTGAATCTTTGTATGTATGTATGTATGCATGTATGTATGTATGTATATGTATCTACGTATGTATATATGTATGTGGTTATTGGTGAAAGGAGCGGACGCCGGCGGAACGGGCCCATGGGTCGGTGAGGAAGTTGGCGTCCTAGGCGGTTGAGAGAACTACCGCTGGGGGGTTTTGCTGGGCCCCGTTCTCGGTTCCGCCGCCATGGGGCGCTGAGACCGCCTCCATACAGCCCTGTTAGGGCAGCTCAGCTCAGCTCAGCTCAGCTCAGGTCGGCCCGGTCCAACCTGAATCAAACAAGAGGAGAGGGGCGGAGAGCTGCTCAGTCGCTGGTGAGGCGGAATAGGTCACACCCGGCCGCGTGACGGCGGATCAGCCCGGTGTACGCGTGTGCGTCGTCGTCGTCGTCGTGTGCGCTGCACGTAGCAGCGCCGGCCTCAGGGCGCCACATCCCCTGGGGCGGCCCGGAGGTGCGGCGCACATGCGGTCGCCCTCGCGGCGTGGGTGGCTTTGTGATTGCGTCATGATTGCTAGCTATTGTAGCCATTTTCTCCAAAGCACTTTTTTTGCAGACAGTTGCTCAATTGATCATTTGGCGCCGTTCCCTGCTTGGCTCGACGCTGTTACAACTCGTAGCGACCTTACCTGCAATGTGTTTTTAATTAGCTGGGCAGCGAAAGAAAGAGCGCTTGGGGGGTGCTGGGTACGGAAGCGTACGGTGGGGGGCACGTGTTTCTCCGCCGCGGTTGCGTTCGTTCTGTATGTGTGCTTATGTACGTATGTATGCCGAAATGAGGCGCTGCTGCTGTGTTGCTGCGTGGTGGTCTGATGCTCATTGTGCGACTGCTTCGTAATTGGTTTTTTCGCTTGCGATTCGAGGTCAAAATACGGACTGAGGTTTCGCATTTCGGCACCTGACACTGGCAATTGATTTGCATTTTGTGTTGTGCGTTCCCTGCATGTGTGTGCGTGTGGCTCTTGGTTGGTCGTGGTTCGTGGTTAGCTGGTGGTGTGCTCTTCAGTGCCTCTGCAGCGCCGTACAAGCGCCCTCGTACGTACGGCGGACAATACTTCCACGTGAGTTGGTTGGTTTCGATTCCGTTAGTACCGAGGACCTCGAGGTCACTGCCCTAGTGGGAACTGTGGGGGGAAGGAGGAGGAGGAGGGGCGCCCTCATGGACTGTCCGCTCGAAAGATTGGATGAGGCCGATTGGCCCGACAAGCCTGCCTTAGTTATTAGATCAATTTCGTAGGTCTCAAGATGGTGTCGGCCCGCCTGCTGAACACGGGGCTGAACACGGGCTGGGCATGGACAAAGGGTTATAAGCAGGTGGATTTACCGCGTATGTATGTATGTATGTATGTATGTACGTATGTATGTATGTACGCCCAGGTGGGCGGGCGGATGCGTGGGTACTTCGCGCTTCTCTGCATATCCGTGTGCATGGACGAGCATGTATTAGTATGACTCGCATGTTCTGCGCTTTCCTTTCGGCTGTACGCTTACGGCTGAAGTTGCGGCTGCCATGCGTCGTATCCTGTGTCCTCATTTGGTTGCGCGGAAAGGCGAAGTCGAGCGGCGCCACTCCCTGTTGTTTCTCCCTGAGCTCCTTTTGGAGTTTTCGGGTGGACATGCTTGTTTCGGGTTGTAGTGGTGATGAGAACCCTACACAAGGAGGGAGCTGACGCAGAGAAGTGCTCTTCTGGAAGGCTTGACGTAATAGCACTCGGTAACTGCGCAAGTTGCATGGCTGCTCTGCCTGGTCCCGGGTGCTTTCGTGGTGGCCTTCCTAAAAACCCTAAAACCCTACTGCTAACCTGCCACAGAACTTTCTAATCTGGGCCCAATTGAATCCATTCTCCGGTTACTGTTCTTGCTGTTGTTGACAGAATGTTTCACTGCTGTGGGTGACTCCCCTGAGAAAGGACAAGCACCGGGCTATGTTTTCCTCCACACACGCCTCACTGGTCCACAGCCTCTGGCTAGGCAACTCTGCCTCACGGTAGACTGCAATTCATACAGGGCGCCGCGCGAGAAACGCCACACTTCACAATTCCCTAACCATGCTACCTTTCGCCAGTTCACCTATGTAGAGGTTGCCAAAAAATGGTTAAGTATTACTAGGTCATTCTACTGAGGTCATTTGCGATATATAACTGCTATTACCTCTTCATATCAAATACGTTACAGAATTTGTAATAACAACAAGCTGAGTCAAATGTCTTCAGATGATTAAAGATGCTGTCCAATTACTCGATCTGTCATGACTCTAGAAATGAAACGTCATATCTGGTGGCTTCGCTGGCACATGTTACTGAGGTTGCCCTTGATTGCCTATTTGGGCGACACTTGCCAACCCTTAGGCCTTACCAACTAGTGCCGCAATTCACAACTGCAACACAACATGTCTATTGGAAAGGGCTCCAGGCTGTGAATGTCTTCCGCTGCCGCCCACCTCTCCCTCGACCATGATTAATACACCTCATCCAAGGACATCATCGCCCACGTTGCTGGTAAGAGCCGACCCAAAATACACTGCACAACACCGTTCGACCTTCAAGGTTGATTTCAAATTAAGGGAAATGTTTCCTCATATTGTCTTACCCCATCATCGCTTCCCTCTGGCTACCGGCTTGGCACTAATTATTTGGGCAGCAGCAGTACACTGACACCAAACGATAGAACATTTCCCCATGCTCCTGCCCCTTGGTCGTGTACTATTGTGCATTGCAAACAGCATGCAGCTGCATGTGGTGGCATTTGACTCGACAGTGGACAAGGCCAGTAGTCACATGTCATAACAACTTCAATCAACCACTAACTGCTATATATTGCAGCTGTATCACTACACATACATCACTACTACACGTGGTCATTTCCATTTCACCCCGCACAACTGTTTCGCTGTGATGATGCATCAAGTGCTGCTGTGCAGGTCTTGGTAGTTGCCGCGCAGAATATACAACCGGGTGTTAACTGAACGCGGATACTTCTCCCCAGTGCCGGGCGGCCAGGCAGCCTCGCCATCTTTGCCCGCCTTGCGCTTCTTCGTTGCTGCCCGCACCTTGAAGGTGTTGTAGACATCAGGGCTCACCACGAAGAAGAGGCTGCAGCTGGGTTTAGGGTTGTCAGGGATGCCCAGTTGCGCCAACTTCTTCTCAAGGTCAGCAGCATTGATTTCCTTGCTTTCGGACACGGTTACCTGGAAAAGATACACCTCAGGCATCTTAACAGCGTCAATGACAGAGAAGTTGGAGGCCATGGGCCTGTAGTAAACGTTCTCAACACTGCTCACACTGCTGATGTTGTCTTTAAACCAGCAAACCGTTTTGCAGGGCTGGATGTCCAGCTTCTCCTCGTTGCCCCTCTCCAGAGTCTCCCGGTCCAATGGCACCACATCGAACTTGCCACCCGCCGCCAGTACAGCATGCATAACTGGCTCGTACAACATACCATTGAGCCCTCCATTGGACGTTTTCAGTAGCGATATCACTTTCTTCTTTTCAAATTCCAATGCTCGTTTGACAAACTCACCAGCCGCCCAATTGCTGGCGAATCTGAGGCGCTGCTTCTTGAACGCGTCGTTAGCCACAATATGTAACAGCGGGTGGCTGGCCTCAGGTACCATTTCGACAGCACCAATGGCCATTCGCACCTGATGGGAGAGGGACAAGAGAGGCATGCCAAGCCGCAGGTGTGTTACATCTGAATGTTCAGGGAGGCGCAAGCCGCAGCCTCAGAGCTTGCCATTGAACAAGAGACATTGGCAGCAATATGGGCAAGGAGGACATAGGAGCTCAGCAGCAAAGTGATCTCTGCTGGATCGAAGGAAGGACAGCAACAATAACAATAACTCGAGCAGTGTCAGAGAAACCTAGGCAGCCAACTGAAACAGCATCAAGTTCGGGGTAGAGGACTAGCTACACTACATGCCTCACCTGTTTAACTTTGCAAGTATTAATAGCGGTGTGCAGCGACCTCAGCAACTCAAGCAACTCCTGGTCAGGGTCCAGCGACGGATGCTGCAGCACGTACCGTGCCATGCCGCCATAGTAACCGAAGAGGTCCTTCACGGTCACCTCCGGCACCATGTCGTACATCTTGCTGGGGGCATATTGTGGGGGTTTTGGCCGTTTTGGCTGTTTGCACAGAGAACAAATTGCAAAAAATGGGGGTTCGATAGGGTTTGGGCATCAACAACATCAAAGCAAGGTTTGATATAATGGATAACGAAAAGAGTGTGAGCACTGCAACATGACTAGTGGTCCATGTGAGCCCACCAAATTTTATGACTGGCGCCCTCACGTAAAACATGAGATATTGGTCAACCTGTTTTTTCGGTCAACCTGCCGCATGCTGGGTGCAATGCCACCGCGAGACAGCCTTAACACTCCAATACATGTTCATTTGATCGCTGTGCAGCCCCCTGGTTGCTAGTGTGTATGGCTAAGCAACTCTCGATACTCTGTGTCCAGGGTCCGACGGAACGCTGGTCAAATTCTGAGTCAGGGTCAGTGACTGCTTATTATATGCTCTGCAGTATCTTGGTGAGAAACATTGCCTAACAGCAAATCACGGCTAACAAGCACCTGGCGGAAACGAGCAAGTACGGAGCAAGTACGGAGCAATATACTAGCTAGCCACAAACAAGCAAAAGCCACTGCACTGTAACCAAGCAGGACGCGGAAGTTGCTCTTCCACAGCGATCCACAGACAGACTCCTTGATATGCTTGTGACTGCTTTACAGCTTTGGTGCTTCTGGCAAGTTAAGACGACGCCGTCCTATTCTCCACGTTAAAGCTTGAATCCTTGCCATTTGCTTCAGTGCACAATGCGTTTAGCTTGTGCGGAAAAAGGAGTGCCGTACACAATTTACATAGGGCTTTGCACATGGTCGACTTAAGTCATAACAACCCTGATTCGCTGTACAACTGCGTAAACTCCAAGTTACAAACTCAAGTCTAAGAACGTTACAAAGTACTTTCCGCACTAGTTGCAGCATGCACCACGTGAGCTAGCCCTCCTCCCCACTCGCCCCACACCCAGCACCTGCGGCAGTCAAGCAGCTCCTCAAGCTCCCAGAGAGGCATGTACAGCACGTTCGCGCCTTCTTTATCCATCTCCTGCAGCCCGAGGGAGGGAGGGAGGGAGAAGTACAATGAAGCACAGACGATTGCAAGGAAGGGCGACAGGCCTACGTTCTGGCCTTTCCTGGCCATCTAGTTCGTTAGGAACGGATACACTTAGGCAGCAACTAACGGACGAGTCCAGGACGCTGCATGTCGGGTGTGCGAAGTCAGCAATGGTACACCCTCTGATCACATCTCGGCCCAAGATGCTTACCTTCATCGTTGCATGCACAGGTGAGGTTAACAGCACCGTGTGCGCCGCAGTGCTGGTGTCGGGCTGCACCCCATCTGCAAAGTACCTGACGGGATAAGGTAACGAGATGTCGGGGGACAAAATGGACCCAATGAATCCAGGAGGTCCCAGGTATGTAGCAGCTGGGCAAGTGCAGAGCACGGCCTGTAAGCACATCATCCATCAGCTCCCTGTCACGGCAGCACTAAATTGCCTGCCACCCATGCATGTAGGCATAGCTAGCTAGCTAGCTAGCCAGACAGCTAGCAAGCATGCATGTACACACATATGTACATGTATGTAATATGAAAATGTAAATGTTTATGTAAGTAAATGTAGATGTATGTATGTTGTTACAGGGTGGTGTAATGTAGATGTATGTATGACTGAGATTACACCGTGGGCCGTGAGAGCCGGGGGCCGAAGCCGAAACACCAACACATAACGCAGCCGCTCTGCAGCACCTCCATCCGGGGATGGCGCTGCAGTGAAAACATGACGGGCTCTCAGGTCCCGCTAGAGCTAGTCCACAAGCCCTCTGGCCCCCCCCCAAAATACAACCAACAATGAAGGGAACCCAAGGGAAGGAAAAAAACGAAAAACGAAAGAAGTCAGCAAGGGCAGCCCAGGCAGGGGTGGGCTCCTGATACACCTAACAAGCCATTACAAACCTCGAAGAAAGAAAGGCTAAGAGCACTAGAAACCACAGGATGTCTTGCAGCCACCTTACAACAACTGACCTCCTCTGGGCTGGTCCAGGGGATAAGTAACCAACCAAAGAAAAGGGACCACGCACAAGCCCGATAAACACTGCAAGGGCTCGGGATAGACCAGCGAGACCACATACGAGATAACGCTGCCACAACACACAGCTCCTAGGCCCTCCAGGACACCGCAGGGGAGGATAAATGTATGATGTATCAGTGTGCTGTGCTGCACCAGTAGAACCCACCAGGAATCACGGTTGTGAAGCTCGTTACCGAAAGCCATTGGTCGAGCACCAGACCAGACCACCCCCGTCTCATGCGTGTAGCACCACTGGTGACCAGAAGGGGCAGAACAAGGAAACAAAGGTAAAACAGCTCCTAAACCAGCACACCATACAGTACTACAGTACATGTGTAACCCACCAGTTTGCCAGGGTTTGAGTGATGCTGCCAAAGGATAAAGGGTGGTGGCGACGGGCTTTCCAGCAGCCGCATTAGCATGTAGTAGAAGAAGTAGCTCTTACCAATCCCAGGTGTCCCAGTAACTGCACCAAAAAACACAAGGGCAAGGGCAAGCATTGGACATCAAGCACGTGGAGTGAATGATCGACAGCAGCAGAACAGACATAGCTTTACAGAGGGGCTCTGGTGCTTTGAAAAATGAAAAACCGAACCGCATTGATTGTTCTCCGGGAGTGCAGCAGGCTAGTACCAGCCATTAGCTAGTCAATTACATGTAACAAACATAAGCTAGCCCCAACTGCACATATACATTGCAACCCACATGCATAAACAAGCCACAAATGATGAGGTTGTGATCACCAGGTGGATTGGGTCCTAGCTGTATACACCAGTCGCACGGCAGGCAACAGCAGGGAACGACGTGAGCCTCACCAACATGCTTTCGATTCTCCGACGCGTAGATGACTGTGAAGAGGTTAGGATAGCACTTGCGCACATAGAGCTGCCTGCTTCCCCCATGCAGTGGGAAAGACACGTCGCCGCTGCCCACGGTGAGAAGATCACCGGCACCCGGCACTGCCAGGGTACACAATGTAGCAATGAAACGCGTGGCTTTCTCCTCCACGGAAATCGCAGCAGAATGACCTGCGGATGTGGCTGTTTAGCATGCACGAAGTCGGATGCCAGGCCAGGGGGCGTTCCAATTACCATAGGATTTGGCAGGATACATAGCAAGATGGGCGCTCTGAGCCTTCTTTGCGTGCAGGTAGATAGGCAGGCCAGAGCCACAACACTGCCAAATCTGTTAGCGCTTCACTACCTACTGTAAGGAAATGGGGATAGAAAGAATTCAGCTCCAAGAAGTTAACGTAAAATTGAGGCGAACTGGCACCCAGTGGCAGGACAGCAGTTGCCGCAGCTGTACATCAAAGAGGAAAAAAGAGGGTGCATTATGTAGGTAGGTCATTTGTCACGGCAAGCCCGTTGGAGGCGCATGGCTCGGTTTAGCGTACGAAGCCGTTGGCCAGATCCACAAACGCTGAAACTTTGCTTGCTGGGCAAGACAAACATGGCCATATCATTCTAATATTTAGCTGAGCACGACGGTGCCCTGGATTCTGTTCGTGGCCGAAGTTGGTGGCAATTGCCGAGGTGGCCGCCAAAGCCTCAGTAATTCTTGCAATTAGTCTGGGTAACACCCTTTAATATGTATAGGAAAAATTTATGCTGAAAACGCCACCAGCTGAGGCTGAAAGTTTGGAGCCGACATGGAGGATTGCAAAAAGAAACCCTACGAACAATCGCGATTGCAGCGGGCTTGCGCACAGATATCGGCAAACGGGGCATCTCGGGGTTCAGAAAGGGGTCTAATTCTGTCTGGGCCTGTTGCGAAGGCGGACAGCAACGGCTATGTCAGCGAAATGTCTGCCGACTACGACGAATGGTGGTCCAGCTCCGAAGGCGAGCCTAAGTTGAGATTGAAATCCCGATTCTCTGTGCATACGCCAGTATCTCGGCAAGTAAAGTCAGCTTAGGCTTCCCAATTGCTAGGAGCGGTCTGGTTCCCTTTGAATTGGTATCAGAGCCTAGGTGGTCCTCCTCGTCTTTCATCACTCATTACCATTTTAACGTCTCTTCGCTAAGGCAGCGGGTAGAGACAACCAGGAGCCAGCCAAACTACACCGGTTCGCCGTGCGAAGCCAACGAAGATGAGCTAGAAATGGAGAATGAGGCATGGATTGGGTTTATTTCGCTTGTCCTTTGTTAACTTTCTGCGGCGGCTGGCCACAAGAGTCGTGTCTGTGCGGTCGACCGACTGGGAGCGGGCTTGACCGAGTAGCATTTGCCGTAATTCTTCTGGTATAGCTTCAAGCGGCTTCAATTACAGTCCGTTCAAATGGTGCCAGCTGGAGCACCGACCGAACGAGAGAGCCAAGCAAGCGGGCCTTGTCGACTGGCATCATACCAAATAGCGACGCTGCTTAGAGTAGCCAAACACACAAGAACGAAGAGGCCAGTCAATCAACCTGAAAAGTCATTCCTGACGAACCAGCGACACTGGTGCCTATCGGGGTCGGGGCCGGTACATTTCCACCTAACCTTCCTGATCCTTGACATTCGGTTTGCTCGTAGATGGCGGCGGCGAGGCTCACGTTGAAAGGCGGCGGGGAAGAGACAAAACCCGTAGACGTCCCGGTGAGGTGCCCGAGAGTGCGCCCAGCGAAGAAAGGAACACAGTACAGTAATATAAGCGCTTGTTGGGCCAGTGGCCCTGCGGCACGACGTGAAGCGGGCAAATAGCATTTGAGTACCCTCCGCACGGGGAAAGCGGTTCACCAGCGGGCGGGTGGATGCGTGTGCGGACTTAGGCCAGCATGCCACTGCTGTAGCGACTCGGAGGCTGATCCTCCTAGCGATTGGGAGGCTGATCCTCCTAGCGATTGGGAGACTGCAACCCTAGCGAGCGACACGGTACACGAGGCCCGACGGACTCGAGCTACCATTCCCTAGGAACGGGACGGGAAGACTAACCCTTGTATGGACGCGGTGTGAGCGAGGCTGAGCACGCGCGCCCAGACAAGGCAGCATGGAGGGCGCATAGCTGACTCATTTATGACGAGACCTAGGCTGGAGATCGGTAAACCCTGAGGCCTAAGGGGCCGCACCAAAAGGTAAATAAAACAGACACGAGACCTGGCTTGCAGGGAGGCGAAGGTTGGGGCACGCGTCCTGGGAAGCTCCCTGGGTGGGGTGGAGGGAAGAGCAGGCCATGGGGGCTAGAGGCGGGTTTGGCGGCGCACATGGTGGCGGGAGGGCTGGCATGGCAGAGGCCACCAAGGCGGCGCCCCAGCAGGCGAGGCAGCCAATGGGCCGCAGCGGGGGCAGCCGGCCCTAGACGCGGTGAAAGAGGAGCTCCAGATGTGTAACCTCCCGGCAGAGCTGTGCCTGGACAGCGACACCTTGTCCTGTGCAGCCAAGGTTGCCCGACCAGCCATCGGCTGCAATCTAGCGCTCCTAGGAAAACCGAACCTGTACGGTGGACACCCCGAACTGTGAGTTCGGACAAGAGGACGTCAAGAGAGCAGTGGAGCGCTGGGTTATCTCCACAGGTCGCGAAGCGAGAGGCATGGCCCGGCAATGGAGGAGCGTAGGCAGTGCACTGCAAGGATTAACTCAGCCACAGGAGGCGAGGGTGGGGGGTTGGACCTGCCCTAGTGTCATGATAGTGCGGCGGGTTTCACGTTCGGCGCCTTGTGAACGGAAGGGACATGCACGCTGGTATGTGGCCGCGCCCCGTGAATTGGAAGGGAGGTGGTTCAGGGCAGCCAAGTGTCTGTTGTTTCGGCGCTTGGCCTGCAGATGGCGATCGGGAGTAGTGGCCTACGGGACAGAGAGCTAGAAGGGGAGCTAGACTCCGACCCTAGCCTGATGTGAGAGGTGCAGTGGACAAAAGACGAGCCAGAGGCAGACCTTTTACCTGCGGACCTAGAAGGCCAGGAAGCTGGCGCTTGGTGTGACCTTTCGGAAGTTGTGCTGCTGCCGACCATTGAGAAAATGGCTGTCTCTAACACAGTTTCCTCACCCGATATTACTTTGCCAGCATCGCCTTCAATGTGGAACCGAGCATGGCAAGGAGTCAACTCGGCAGTTAGGCTGGGTTATCTGACACACCGCTAACACCAGAAGAGTTGTAGAACAGCAAGTGCGAAGTGCAGCCCGGAAACCAGCCGACTTCCAGCCAGGACTCCTGCAGGCATGCAGCCAGTTGTGGCGCCGTTATTTCGAACTCCACAACGAGGCGCGAAGACTAAGCCGTAAACCAACTCCTGGCGCAGGCAATGTTAGAGGAAGGTGTGCACTTCAATTGGTGGGGCCACCTGGCCTGGGGGCCAAGCCACGGGCTCCGGGGTGGACCCAGTAACTTACATAACCGGCAGAATGCGGCACGCCATCCAGTTCCCCAAACACCGCAGCACCACCTTGCACGACAGAAACCCAGAAGTGCTTGGATATTGGGTGATTCACAAGTGGCACGGGAAGTGGGGACAACCAACGGCCTTCAACAGCCTGCGGGGGCGGAAGTCAAGAAGCTGCGCCTGGCATGAACCTCTTGTAGCCCTGGATATCCCACTGCTGAAATACGAGCACATCACGGGCTTGCTGGGACCCCTGCGAAAGGATGACTTCCTCAGTACCACGGACAACAAAAGCAACTACCAAAACCTGCTACTGCGCCTGGATATGTACCGGTTTGCCGCGTTGAATGGGGTGGCGACCTACACTGCTGGCCTGTCATGGTGTTCGGATTCGCACCCGCCTGCTGGGTCTACAGCCTGCTGAAACGGGAGCTGTTTCGACCATCGCGGAAGCGGGCATTGACCTGGTCTACCAACGACGAACGACTGTGGCGTGGCAGCTCAGAACCTGGCGGCGTCACCACACCTGTGTAGGGTGGTGATTGACCTACTCACGGCTCTGTGCTTCACCCTGAGCCTCGAGAAATGCCAGTTACGACCATCCCAGCGGGCCAAGTCCCTGGGCTTCATTGTCGACACACAATGAATCTTCATTTAGCATGAAGCATCGAATTACCTGAGGACAAGGTACGGCAGCTGGCAGAAACGGTCGAGCAACGGGTGGCCGCAGGGCCAGTAGAGATTACAGCCCTGGAAGTGGCCCAGGGGGCCGGGCGGAGTATGGCTATGAGCCCAGCAGTGGCTACATCGCCGCTCCACACGCGTGTGGTTGGGCTGGCGGCAGCAGGGGTGGCAGACTGGGATGAAGCGGCGGGAAACCCAAGGCGAGCCTCTTCATCACTCTGCTGCGGCTCAAGAAGGATAAGACATGGTGGCGGCACGGCCCAGCATTGGCGCTGAGAGTGGCGGGAGATACATCTAGAAGGCCTATGCCGCCTATCCTGCCAGATCGCCAGCTGGATAAGCGAGCGAGATGAGAGTGCCTTTCACCCAGGAGGAGTGGAGCACATGGCCCGGGGGAAAATGTCTAGCACGGAACGCAAGCCCTGCTCGGTAGCCCCGGTGATGGACTGGATCAAGGATGGGGCCCACTCTTGCTAATGGGGAAGTCGCTACAATATCACAACGACAGCCAATCTCCAGCCCTGGGTGTGCTAGCCATGAAGGGGCGCGGCTTCTGCCTGCAGCGGGTGGACGAGCTGGAAGGAACAGCGACTGATGAGCCCAAGGGGGGCAGTACCATCCGGGCAGGGAAGGCACAACGGCCCGACTTGGCGACTAACTACGTCAGAGAGGATGATGGGGAGCTCGGTGACCAAGGAGCCGCCAGGAGACGCGAAGGGGCTGGACCGTCGGACTGTACTGAACTGAATATCAGCCGGATTGTGGGAGCCCTGGGGCACTTGCCGCCACCAGAGGACATCGGGACCAACCCGCTGACACCCGGTGACTGGTGCTGGGCGACTGCATTATGGGGAAACCGCTATTCCCCAATGCTGGAGGGACCGACCCGACGGACCGGGGCCGCCGCCCCGGCCTGGAGTACCAATACCCTGGGCTTGCCACCTGCAGGAAACTACAGACGGTAGGGGACCTGGTGCGGGTTTGGACCCTGGCAGAGAGCAGCAATCTGGCAACCCTCCCTAGGACGGTATGGCTGGAGTGGGCCCGGACTCACCTTGACCCGCTTACCCCGACCTCCACGCGGGATAGACCCGTGACCCGGGCAGCCCTCGCGGCGCTGCATGGCAGCATAAATCCGGCCTGGCTCGAAGCTGCTAGAACGGTTGAGACCCGGCGGCAGCAGCAGCAGCAGCAGCAGCGGGGGCTAACGGAACCGATGGCAGCGGCAACGGAAGGGGAGGAGGCTGCCATACCGTCACCAGCACCACTGCTGACCAGCATGCAAGCGATGGGCATGATTGCTGGGCGAATTGGGTGGCGTATACCTGGGATGGCGGAAGCCATCCCGCTGGCACGCCTCACGATTCGCCTGGCGACACAGCTGCAATGTGGGCCTATGGAGGAGAGGAGAAGACGCCTGGTGGCTGAATTTGTGGGGGAGGCGACGGATCCTCAGGGCCCGTTGCCGCCGCCCCCGTCGGAAATCAGCCTATTCAGGGCGACCCAGGCCCGCGTATGGTCCGGGGTACGATGGGAGAATGAGAATAAGGAGACGCTATGGCGGCTCGCGGTGGATGGCGTCCCCCTACCGGGCAACACGCACCTAGCCCGCATGACTCCAGAAGGCTGTGGATGTGGCGGATTCGGTGGAGCAGCTGGTCAGCCATGCTCGCCATGCATGCATCACTTTTGGGAATGCCCGGTGGCGCAGGCGGTGCAGGCACAGATCGACCGGCATCTACAGTCTTCTCAGGAAGCGGCGGTAGGGGGAGTCACCCGAAAGCAACTCTGGCTAGTAATGGCCCCAGCCGGATGCGAACAGGCCGTATGGGATATAATCTCCCTGTCGGCCCTGTCTGCCATGGAGGTTGGCAGATGCTGCCTGAGGGCAGTGGGCAGGAGGCAGGAATGAGCTGGGAGCCAAGGACCACAGAACCGGGAGCACGCACAGCAGGTGCAGGCACCCGGCCCCAGGCAGAGGCGGATAACGGACTTTCTCATCCAGGCCGATGGGGTGGGACCGCAGACGGGGCCTGCACTGAACGCGCCGGGGGATGAGGACCAAACGCAGGAGCGGAACACGGCGACAGGGGGGTTAGCAGCAATGGCAGCCGCGGTGGCAGCAGCACCCGCAGCAACCCCCATGGAGTGGGCCTGCGCCCGGGCAGTGGTGGACTTCTGGGCGCGTCTGCGCTCCTTCACGGTGCTGGGCACCCCGCGGAGAGGCTGGGACAGGGTGGGACCCGACCACCCGATCCTGTCGGTTTCAGAAGGCGCACTGTGGTGCGCCGAAGCGGTGGAAATTATTGCCTAAGAGCGCTTTGAGCTTAGTATGTAGGGCAGGGCTCGGGTGGGTATAGGAGTTCAAGGGGGATGGGGGTTGGAGGGCAAGGGAATAGGTGAGAGGAAACCCCGAGACGGGAGAGGGAGAGGAGAAGGACGGGGAGTGGAGGCGGTCACGTAGTGCAGGGAAGAACCCTTTTTCTTCCCTAGTACCGCTCCGAGGTTGTAGGGTGCTGGAGAGCTGGGGGGAGGTGGGGTCGCTCGGACAGGGGAGGGGGGAAATGGCGGTGAGAGCGCCAAAAGGACGTAGGTTTACTGGGGTTTGGGAGGTTGAGGTCTGGTGGTAGCAGCGGGGCTCGGATGAGGGTGAGTTGTGGCCCGAGGAGGGCCATTCTACTTAGGCACGTCTTCTCTGCGGGACTGGGTTGCTTGGTGAGGTACGAGGGTGAGAGCGGTGCAGTACGAGGCAGGGTGAGTAGGTTCTGGAGGACCAACCGTTCTGGTTTAATAACGGTAAGGGGGAGGCGCCGTGCGGGCTACATTCCTCCCCCTGCGGTATTTTGGAGGGTCTAGGAGCTGTGTGTCATGGCGACGCTATCGCTTTTGTGGTTTCGCAGGTCTATCCCGGGCTCTTGCAGTGGTGATCGGGCTTGTGCATGGTCCCTTTTCTTTATATGGCTACTTCAGAGTAAACTCGCGCACGGAAACTTAGGTGGTTGCCTTCAAGTGATGAACACCCTTCCAGCCTGACTTCCTGAAGAAAGCCAATCTCTCATCACGCACACATATGTGCCTGTTGCAAGAACTGAATAAAGGTGTCCAACATCCTGGAGCCGCATGAGATTGGCCGCGGGCCCGCTTGCAGAAGTGACAGCCGCTGCCGGTGCTCACTGCAGTGGATCTCGCCACCGCTACTGCCGCCGAGGAGAAGGAGGGGGAAGGGGAGGGGGAGGCGGAGGGAAAGAGTAAGGGAAGGGGGAGGAGCAGCGTTTTTTAAGTAATATATTCCGAAAAAGGAATAAACCGGCATTATGGCCTTTGGAAAAAAGGAATAAATTGAGGCCGACCCGTACATTGCCATTCCTCCAGTCAAAAACGTCGACAGCAGCAGCAGGGGCCGGTGTATGATGAAACGGTAGAGTCCAAGTGCACTGCTGCTTGCAGCGGCGGGTGACGGCCAGTGATTTGCTATGCGGTTGCTTGCTTTGGGCCTTTGCTTGGTCGATTTTACTTACTGCTCACAAACAGTGCCATAACTATCTACGCATGTGCACGAAGAGTGCATGCACGGACGAAAAACGCGCCAATTCAGTGCATGACTCTTGGT